CCCAAGTTTTCCTTCTTTCGTTTTCTAACATGTAAAGTGCTTAGGAGAGTGTCTAGCAGGCAAAATACCATGTATGTGTTAGCAACTACCCTCATGTCCTCATCTTCACCTGTGGGAGATGGGAGGGAAGCCAGGAATCAGAAGGGAGAGAGTGCTGTCAGTTGGGGCTGTGGCTAGCTCCACAGTCCTCTGGCATGCCACTGAATACTCTCAGCCTAAGAAGCTGAAGACGAGCCACCGTCCAGCTCTCCCTCTTCACCCCTTCAGCAGAACCTCCCTGGAACAGAGGGCAGTGTCCTCTGCATGTGGCAGGTCTGTCATCTGGGAGCTGTAAACAGGCACAGCAGCCAGCCCTCCACATTGGGGTGAATCACGGGTGTGCAGGGGGTGGAGGATGAGCGGAACAGTGTAGTGAGTGGTCACTGGCTGGCCGGCTCCTGAATTGACCTTGTCTCCCAGGCAGTGTGGCGAGCTTTGCAGGAAACTCTGCCCTGCCATTAGCCAGCGTGGCCTTCCAGTGGTGGTCTCTTGCCACCTCAGACAGTTCCTGGCAGAGGGAGAATGCCAACATATACCAAGCAGCTTCGAGGTGCCCAGAGGGTGGTCTCTACCCTGCTCTCCAGAACTGTGGCTCCTGGATTGTTTAACCCTTTGTGGGCCTGAGTTGCCTCCCCTCCCTCCCATCATTCCACACATGCCCTCTGGGAGGTAGGAGTCTCCAAACCCACGGGAGTTTACAGGAGGGAAACAATGCGGGCGCCAGGTCTCTGCAGCTCTTGAGAGTATAGGTGAAGGGGAGACAATTTCTTATCAATTTCTTCCTTCAGGAGGGTCAGGCTGTAGGTTTGATTGCCTAGAGAGCTGAGTGATGAAGAAATAGGGATGACAAGGACAGGAAGGCCCGAGGAGCTGGGCCTAGTGTGACCTTCTCACTTTCCAGCACTACTGGCTGTGAGGGGATGGGGTGTGGGTGGATTGGTTCTTGTAATTACCCTGACATAAAGACATAAAGATTCCAGGGTCCTCGTGGGCTTTGGGGACTTTGTGGTGGTGTCTTCACACCTTCTGTGTTGGGCAGCAGGGTGATTTGTGAGAAAGGGAAGCCAAGCTTTCCGATGCAGTTGTGCTATCTAGCGGTCTAGGCTCTAGAAGGGAGAGGGAGGTGTACTGGGGAAGAGAAGGGAGCTTTTGGATCTGTGTGTGTCAGTGAGTGGAAGGTCTGTCTTGGGGCCCGAGGCCACACCCCCTCACATCCTGTGTGCATGACTGCAGGCCTGTGGGGTTGCGTCTCATGTCTACCTGTATTTATGTGACTCCAGCCAGAGGGCAGCTCTAAGGACAGCAGTGGTCCATCCAGGAGTCCTCAGCCTGCCACCAGCCCGGTACCCTCAGAGACTTCCCAGAGAGCCAAGAGCCCTGAACCCACGCTCACTATGAATGGCCTAGGCACTACCTCAGCCGAAGGGCCAAATGAAGAGGCTCAGGGGCTGTCCCGGAAGCGGGTGGCGAATGCCGTGAGGAAGGTGGTAAGCAAGGTCCTGCCTGGTGAGGAGCCTGGGAATGCCAAGGAGCCTCCAGGCCGAGGAACCAAGTCCCCTGAGCACCCAGCTCGAGGCAAGAAGGGAGAGAAGGCAGCCTCTGGTCCCAAACCCCAACCCCCACCGCCTCCTCCCCCTCCTCCTCCTGCTCCATCGAAGCCTGAAACAAAGAAAGAGGCAGCCAAAGATGAGCTTTCTGTGGGCCTGCGCAGTCTGATGTCCCGGGGCCGAGGCAAGGACCACAAGTCCCGTAGCAAGCAGCCTCCTGGGAAGGGAGAGAAGGCCCCCAGCCAGGAGCCAGCCTCCTCTGGAAAATCAGGCTCTCCAGACATGGTGGACTCCCCCAAGAAAGCAGGGTCCCCAGCCAAGCCTGAAACCTCAAGTAAGCGGCGCTCCCCAGCCCCAGCACAAGAACTGGCTGACCCAAACCTGGCTGGCGCGAGGTTGAACCCCTCTGGAGAGCAGCAGTCCCAGCCACCAGCCTCTGGTGTGCAGCAGGAGGTACCCCAGTGTGCCGCTAACCTCCCCTGCCCCTCACTACTCTTCCTTGAGGGCTCTGTGTCCTCATGATGGCGTCCTCAAGCTTGCAGGAGCCTCGCATGACCAAAGCTGGCCCAGCGTCATAGGCCTACCCACCATGGCAGGGGCTGCATGACTCTCATTAACTCTATGTCAGAACCGGCCTGGGCTCTGGTCTGGTTGCCGAGATGGGACGTGCTAACCAGCATTGCTGCATGCCTTTCCGTAAAAGTCAAGAGTGGTCTCTAGCCAGCTTGAGGCACCGTCTCCAAAGCTAAAGATCGCAGTCTTGGCAGATGAGTGCAAGGTGGAAATAGTTTTAAACCAGGTAACCCAGGCTCACATCCACAGCCATACCCCGGTGAGACTTCAGCAAGGCCCATCGCTAAGGGCCTGTTTGGCAAGTGGGGCGGGGTGGGGTTACAGTGCGGGTCCTTAGCCTCTTCTGTGAAGTCTTAAGTACTGGGAGTTAGTCATTTTTATATTTTGGGATGTTTTATGGTATACATGCTAGCAGCCACCTGCAGCAAACTTGCGTGACTATGTCCAGAGCAAACTCGTGAGTATTCTCCCTGCAGGAGGATAAAAGATCAACAGGTGTTGCCACCAACATAATTAAGAAAACTCTTCTATTTGGGGGACTCCTTGGGTTGAGTCACAAACAAGGGTTAAAACTTGCCTTGAAGGGCGGCTGTGTTGATCAGATCTGATGCAGGTTAAATGCCAAACCCGTCACCAGTACCCACAGCGGTAGGCCTGACTGTGATGCCGATGCTGACTGATGCTGTCACTGCTTTCTTCAGGCCTGGCCCAAACATGTATTCTGGCTGCAGCAATCCTGGGAAGCCCTGTACCTGGGTGACAGGCAGGCATGGCGAGCCCCTTTGTATCGGCACTACCCCATCTTCACGGTTGATGGCTCCTTGGCTGGCCTTGAGTTAGAGTTAGTTCTTTCCAAGCTCCTCTACCCGAGGGTCCTGTTGAGGTCTCACAGGATATGTGTTGGGGGGGTCGACATTAACTTCCACACTGAGCAGGTTCCTAGTGGCTAGAAGGAGAGGAGTGAGGTGGATGCCAGGGCACAGTCTGAGGGACCTTGAGGCACTTACTGGGTGCTTCCTGTTGGTAGCCATCTTTCCTGGAAGCTGCCTTGCCCCATTCTTCCTGGGTACTGCAGGATGTCCAGGAAAGCCAGCTGCCACCCTTCCGCACCTCCTGACCTACTCTGTCAGGGCAGTGTATTCCTATCCCCCAGGGAAGAGTTGGCAGGGGCTTTCTGGCCCGAGGATCAGGTTAGGAACTGAACTTCAGTCCCTTGGGGGAACCTGTAAGTAGGTAGGAAGTGTCCTGTGCTTGTCTTGGCCTGTTGCCTTCTCCCTCCGGCACACTTTTCCTTGCACTAGTGTGGAGTTGGAGGCTGAGACATGTCTTGACCTGGATTTCATCCCTTGTTCATCCTGGGACAGGAGCAAATGGGGAGGGTAACAGGGTTGTTCAGAGCGCACAATGGTAGAGAGAGTAACTTAAGGCCTCATAGGCACCTCCTGTTCCTTTTTTTGAATCATACAGTTTCAAAACTCAAATTGGCGCTCAGCTTGTCTCCCTGACCCTGCTCCACTTCTGCATCGGGTCCCAGTAACTTCCTGGGCTGAGAGCTTGGCGTGTGGTGCCCCCACTGTCCCCTGGGCCAGAACTAATGATGGTTTAACCTTTAGGCAGGAGCTGAGCCTGAGGTCCAGCTGAGTCCTGCAGAGGAGGCACACCAGCGACTTGAGAGGATCTTCACTGCTTCTGTAATGCCAGCTCTCTCTCGTGTGTGGGGTTCACAATACCTGGCCCTCTTCTTCCTAAGGCTGGTGGCTGGAGTGTGTGTGTGTGTGTGTGTGTGTGTGTGTGTGTGTGTGTGTGTGTGTGATGGAACCCCATGGCTGTTCACGAACCTTCACAATGGCTCTTTGGTTGGAGAAAAGAAAGCTGAACTTGATGAAATATTGATCCTCCAGACAGACTAGGGCCCAGTGACCATGGAGGGGCCCTTCATAGCTTTAGTCCCTTTCTCTAGCCCTGGTCTCCTACTTTGGGGATACTCATTGGTGTTGGGTTCTGGTGTATGACAAGACAGGAGTCAATTTTGATGCCAGGGGCCTAGACTCACGTGGATATTAACCTTTCTTATTCCTAACAACCAGCACCCAAGACTTGCCTGGCTCTCATTTCTGCCAGAAAGGCTTTGGAGGGCTTTGACTAGGCAGACTGTAATATAGAGGTCAAGGCTGGCTCAAGGGTTGGGCAGCTGACAGGTAGCCCTGTGGTTGGAGCTGGGTGGAATGATGCCTCTGCTTGCCAAGTGGTCAAGGTGCCTGCCCAGGGGTGGACCATGTTGCAGTGGGGGTTTGAAGAAGGTGTCATAGATTTAGGCTGTCAGTTCCATGAACTAGCTCTGAAGTGTAAATAGAGCCCCTGGTAAGGGAAGTGGCACCCCACGGCCTGTGTTGAGAAAGGAAGGACAGCTTTCTTTGTGTCTGTGTCATAAACAGGCTGGTGCTCTTGGGAAAGAAAAAAAAAAAAAAGAAAAAAGATCCCAGGGGCCCTAACCTTGGGTGTTGTGAGGTGACCTGGCCCTCCAGGGGCATGGAAGAGGGAGACTAATCCAGGGTGGACTGAATAGCCAGTCCCTCAGAGACTGGCCGGAGACAGAGAGAGTGGCAGATGCTTGTGTACCACAAGGAATAATCCACAAGACCCTTCCTTCTGTAGGGTCTAATGATAACAAGAGCTCCTACCCCCATGGTGGTCTGGCCTCTCCAGCCAAGCCAGTACTCCAGTCTTGGGCAAGTAAACAGTGCTGGCTCACTGGTCTAGGGGTGTCTTATGGAGGGTACCTGCAGTGCTCGCTACCTGTCTTCACCTTTCTCTCGTTCTCTCTTTGCTCGCTGCTGGTAGCTGGACCCTGAGGCCGCCTCCCCTGCCCACAGCCAGGTAGGGTGCCCCTGCCCCACCCAGGAGCCCTCTGCTTTCTCCGGTGACAACCCACCACCCCCACCTTGCACGTGGGTTGGCGTCTGTGCTCGGGCTTCCTGCTGGAGTGTAAGGCCTCTTTCCCTCCAGGTTCCCACTTTGTGTCAGGGGAGCCAGGGGAGCTGAGATGGTACAGCTGCGGCCCTTGGGGACCACCACTGCCCTCCCTCCCCAACCCCTTCCCCGCCAGCTTTGCCTCCTAGCCACTGAAGCCCGGGCATTTCTGCCCTGATCACCCTGGGTAGGAAAGAACCAAAAGACCTTTCTTCCTCTCCTTAGCCCCAGCCTGAGGATGAGATGTTCTTCACGTTCTGGTCAGTGTGAGAAACTTGTTTTTAGACAGGCCATGACCCTTTGATGTCATTCCTAACATGGCCATAGAACTTGCTCACTCAGGACAAAAGTTTCACTTGATTCATGTGATTTGAAAAAGACAAAACACAGGTGATTTGTTTTCTGAGACAGAGTCTCTGTATGTAGTCCTGGCTGTTCTAGACCTCACTATATAGACCAGACTGGCCTTGAACTCACAGAGCTCTGCCTGCCTCTGCCTCCTGAGTGCTGGGTCAAAGGTGCCCATCAAGACTGCCAGCTCAATCCTCCAAATATTAAAAGATAAAAACCCAGTGTGTTAAAGTTTTATCCCTTAGATAAATCAAAACATTGACAGCTTTGCTACGATCAGGCTATTGATCTCCCTTCTGTTCTGAGCTAAGAAATGTGATGAAGACTCTACAATATTTCCGCTCACCTGTTCTTGTCATTTTCTGTCCCTTACCCAGGGTTCAGTATCACAGGGTGGTGTCCCTGCCTCACTCTGGGGTTTCATGAGAAAGGGACACATTTGGGGTAAGAATCTGGGGTGTTGCCAGCTGGGGAGAGTGTCCGAGCCAGTGTAAGCCTGACACCCTGCTTCTGGGGTGCCAGCTTCCCCCAAGGTGCCATGACATTGCTGACGTGTTGCCCACACGCCACCACGGAGCCCGATAAGGTCCCTTTCATGTCCTCTGGTGTCCCTGTTTCCTTGTGCAAGTGTTGCTGTTAGGGGTGTCAGATCTGATAGCCCCACGCTCTGACAGTGCCTATTTTGATTGCTGATCTCTGACCTCAGGGGCTTCCCAGCTCTTTCACATCTACTTCTGTGCTTCCTGTGTTTGACAAAGCAGCACTGTCTCTATGCCCATGCTGCCCTGTGCCCTCATGTGGCACTAATATACCCACTAGGTTTGTGTAGCTTGTAGACTGTGACTTGGAGAAGGCGCTATCCCCTTGCCCACATAGAACATCTGTAGGCCAGAGCCCAGGGCCTCTTATCATTCCACAGTGCAGAACCCTAGGGTGCAGGAAAATGGCTCTTCCAAGCTTATGGCAAGAGGCCTTTCTTTTGGCATAAAAGAACCAGCAGTTGTGGCCCAGACATAGAATTCAGGGCTTGAGTCAGGTGCAGATCTCACAGGCTCCCAGGGATGAAGGGATGGGGCAGCTAGAGATGAAGCCTGGTGACTTGCTTTCCTGTGGCTGGTTCTCTGATGGTCACAATGCTCCCTGTGTCCACGGACCCTCAAAGTTGGTATAATTCCTAACCTCACTGTCTTTGTTGTCAGCATTCCTGGCTTCCTGCCCTCCTTTCCTGCCCTCTCTCTCTCACAGACACACACACAGACACACAGACAGACACACACACATATACACACATGTGTCCTGTGTCTCCCACCTAACCGTTCCACTTCGTCAGTGGCTCAACTTGAAGCCCTTTCCTCCCTTGTCGTTTCATTCCTGCTGTTCTTGTCTCTCTGTCTTTTAAAGCAGTGTCTGTTCATTCCTCCCTTCCCTCTATAGGCAAAGACGGAAGAGCAGATTGCTGCCGAAGAGGCCTGGTATGAGACGGAGAAGGTGTGGCTGGTCCATAAGGATGGCTTCTCCTTAGGTGAGTCTTTGGAGGTTGGGTATAGACACTGGGACTTGAGTCAAGTCTGGCAAGGGATTGCCTCTACTTCTGGTGAGGCCCGGTAGTGAGCAAGGAGAGGCTGGTGAGCCAGTGGGGAAGAAGGTCTAAGGAGAACAGTAGAACTTCCCAGGCCCAAGTCCAACCATCCCTGCTCTGCAGCCAGCCAGCTCAAGTCGGAGGAGCTCAGCCTACCTGAGGGGAAGGTGCGTGTGAAGCTAGACCACGATGGAGCCATCCTGGATGTGGATGAAGATGATGTAGAGAAGGTTGGAAGGAAGCTGCTGGCAAGGGAGGACACAGGCAGGGCAGGCTTGTCCCCTGTGATGCAGATGGGATCTGTCCTCATTGTCTCCTCAGGCTAATGCTCCCTCATGTGACCGTCTAGAGGACCTGGCCTCACTGGTGTACCTCAACGAGTCTAGCGTCCTGCACACAGTGCGCCAGCGCTATGGGGCTAGCCTGCTGCACACGTATGCCGGCCCTAGCCTGCTGGTCCTCAGCCCCCGAGGGGCCCCTGCTGTGTATTCAGAGAAGGTGTGCCTTCCTAAGGACCCGCCCACCCGCCTCACCCTGCCTTTTCTGGTTCTCTACTCTTTCTCTCTGGTGTCCACTGAGTTCCTGCCCACTCTTATAGTTGACTTTGGGAAGAGGAGGCAAAGGGTGGGGACAGTCTTTAACAGAGTGGTCGGATATCTGCATTTCCGTGGACGGCTTTGCCCTCAAAATACCCTGGGCATCTGTAGAGTGGCAGTATAGAGATCTGCGAGCCCCACAGAGGTAAGACTAGGTGGCCCAGCCCCCAGAGCCCCCTTCTTCCCTCGGTGCCTCTTCTGTTGAAGGTGATGCACATGTTCAAGGGGTGCCGGAGGGAGGACATGGCGCCCCACATCTACGCGGTGGCCCAAACTGCATATAGGGCAATGCTGATGAGCCGTCAGGACCAGTCCATTGTCCTTCTGGGTAGCAGTGGCAGCGGCAAGACCACCAGCTTTCAGCATCTGGTGCAGTACCTGGCCACCATTGCTGGCACCAGCGGGAGCAAGGTGTTTTCTGGTGAGGCGGGGCTACAGGGAAAATGGACAGGGGGCAGGGTATGGGAAAAGGAGAATGACTCTCCTAGATGCGGCTCTTCTCCCTTCCCCCCACCCCCCCGCCCCGTTCCTTATCCCCCTGAACGTCCCAATCCCAATCTCTGGGCAGTTGTTTTCTGGGACATCCTGGGGCCGGTGGCATGGAGGTAAGCTGTCCCTGATTTTCCTGATGTCCCTTGGGCCTGTGCTTGCAGTGGAGAAATGGCAGGCTCTGTCCACCCTCCTGGAAGCCTTTGGGAACAGCCCTACCATCATGAATGGCAGTGCCACCCGCTTCTCCCAGATTCTCTCCCTGGACTTTGACCAAGCTGGCCAGGTGGCCTCAGCCTCCATTCAGGTAAGAGGCATTGCCCAGGCCTAGGGAGCAAAGATGGACCCCAGGTTTCATGTCCTGGGAGTCATCCTCTCTACTACCTCATTAGCCTGGGAGTCTGCCCTGACGCAATGGAGGCCATGACAGCATTGGCAGGGCTGGTCAGTGCTGTCCCCATTCTGGCCCCCAGGCCTCCTGCATCATCTCCTTTCCCCTCCCCTCCCACTGTGGGGAACCTCCCCCCCACTCTGCCCACTCTCTGAAACTCAGGGACCTGAGACTTCTCTCAGGCCAGTGCTACAACACTTAGCAATGAAGTCAGGCCCAGGCACACTGATCTTCTCCCATGCTGAATAAAGTTTCTTTAAAAAAAAAATTACATCTGGGGGCTGGGGAGATGGCTCAGAGGTTAAGGGCCCTGACTGCTCTTCCAGAGGTCCTGAGTTCAGTTCCCAGCAACCACATGGTGGCTCACAACCATCTATAATGGGAGCTGATACCCTCTTCTGGCTTGTAGGCAGACCATTGTATACATAGTAAATAAATATATCTTTTTTAAAAATTACATTTGTAATCCCAGCATTCAAGGAGGCAGAGACAGGTGGATCTCTGTGAGTTTGAGGCCAGCCTGATCTACAAAGCAAGTCCAGGACAGCCAGGGCTACACAGAGAAACCCTGTCTCAACCCCCACCCCCCAAAGTTTACGTTTATTCATTTATTTGTGTGTACGTGTCTATACACATTTACACAGGCGTACCATGGCACATGTGTGGAGGTCAGAGGGCAACTTGCTGGAATCAGTTATTTTCTTCCATCATGTGGGTCCTAGGGATCAAATCCAGGTTGTTAGGCTTGGTGGCAAGCTTTTTGTCTGCCAAGCCATCTTGTCATCCGCTAAATGAAGTCTTCTGCCATAAGCATCCATCACCCTAGGGAGGCGGGTTCCTGGGAGCTGGGCATAGCAGTATCGCCCCTACCCCAAGAGTTGGGACTTTCTTCTTTTGCTCAGCTCTGCCTGCTACCTTTTTTGATCTTGGAGTGAGGTGGTTGAGCACTTGCAAATAGGATGCCCTGATGGGTCTCTGGGCTTGGAGGGTCAGGGGTGGGGGGAGTGTGACCCTTCCACACCTCTGCTGTGCCATAGACAATGCTCTTGGAGAAGCTGCGCGTGGCCCGGCGCCCAGCCAACGAGGCCACTTTCAATGTCTTCTACTACCTGCTGGCCTGTGGGGATGGCACCCTCAGGTGAGATGGGGTGGGGTAGTCTAATGGGACTCTGGACTCCAGCCTAGTGACTGGGATTTTGCCACCTTCTGGCCCACTGTGTTCATTGCTTGCTGTGTGCTGGCTCCAAGGTCGGCCCTAGCGGGGATGTTGAGATGGTATAGACTCAGGTCTTACTTACAGATTCAGGAATTACTTGGTCCTAAATCTTGGGGTCACACTGTATGAAAGGGACACACTGGCCCTTCACTGGTCAGTGGCCTCTGGGTCTGGGGAAGGAGCTCAGCTGCGCACAGGTGGTGGCTGGCTTGCATGCAGTTGTGCAGCTGCTGTGAGCTGAGCTGGCCTGAAAGCCAAGCCTTCTCCAGTACCCTCCAGCTGGCCCTGAGCAGCGCATTGCATGACTCTTCCATGTTCTTCAGACCGGCTCTCTGCAGGCCAAGCGGGTGGCTCTGGGCACCCTCTTCACTTTCTTTCGCAGCAGAGGCACAAATGGTCCTTCAGGCAGGCTCCTGGCTCCTCTTTGGGGTTCTAAGTGTACCCCTTTCTTCTAGGGAGGCTGGTGTCCCTACTGAGGCATCCAGCCCAGTTAGGAAAGGTGGCAGATCTGGCTGGATTATTGGGGCGATGGGCAGATGGAACACACAGTCTGCAAGCTGATTATTTGTCACCCCTGAGGAGGATATGGCCTTGGCCTGAGACCAACCCTCATACCGATGCCTCCTTTCTACCCCTAGGACAGAGCTCCATCTGAACCACTTGGCAGAGAACAATGTGTTTGGGATTGTGCCGTTGGCCAAGGTGAGAGCTGGCCTGTGGGGGCTGAGCTGGTGGCTCTGGGGCTAGAAGCCTCCACTGGTGGGTGTTTCTAGCCTGGCCTTGCTAGGCTAGGGGGTGCAGTGGTCTGGGGACTACGGGGAGGGAAGCCCTCTGAGGTTCAGAGCCGTCATGCCTGTCTACCCTCCAGCCTGAGGAGAAGCAGAAGGCTGCTCAGCAGTTCAGTAAGCTGCAGACGGCCATGAAGGTGCTGGCCATCTCCCCGGAGGAACAGAAGGCCTGCTGGCTCATCCTGGCTTCCATCTACCACCTGGGGGCTGCTGGAGCTACCAAAGGTAGTGGGCAGCCTGTCCTGTTACCCAGAATGCCTTGGAGGCCCCTACCCATGTGTGTGGCTATTTCTTGTCCCACACACTCAGCTGTTACCAGACAACCTTCCCCCACCCCCACACATACTTTGACCTGTAACCTGTCTCAGTCCTCCATGTCAGGGCAGGCGAGAGAAACATCTCTGCCCATGATTGCCTGAGGCTTGGCCTTAGCTATCAAGACTGAGAGCACAGAGAGGAGCGAGTGGGTGGCTCGGGTGGGGGTGGGGGTGGGGGGTTGAGGGATGGAAGGTACTCCCTCAGAGCGGGTGAGTGACGCCTTCTCATTCCCTCCCTGATAGAGCCCCTTGAGGAGCAAGCCGGTAACTGACCTTGTTGTACCTTGGGGTGTAGGGTCCTGCTTGACTGTCTTGGTGCTTCCCCGGGCTTCTGGGCACTGGGCTCATTCTCGTGGCAGGGAGAACTGGTCTAAGGAGAAGCCCTATGTTGAGAGTAGAAAAGGAGCTTGGTATCTGTGGGACCTCTTAGAGCCCCCCCCAATATCAGTTTTTCCTTCCCATTTTGCATCCGGAACCTGGGGCTCCCTGAGACCAGTTTCCCCATCGGTAGTTGCTGCTCTTTGTCCTGCATGTCAGGGTGGAGGTCCCTAGGGTGCAGCAGGCACCTGGTGATGGATGGACTTAGCTTCTGCACTTGGGACCCATGGCTTGTGGAGGGCTGGGGCGCGATCTGACTAGAAAGAATGGTTCTCTTCCTTGGATATTGCACTGAAGGGCCACGACTGTGGCAGCTCCTCACCCCTTTTCCTCCTGCCTTGCAAAAGGGTATGCTGGCTCCAGACAGCACTTCTGGCTTTTGCTCTGTCTTCTGGGAGATGTGAGAAAGTGAGGGTTGCTTAGCAGGAGTTGGGACGCATCGGTGGTTGTGGGCGCATGCAGGGACACGTGTCTGGGTATCTGGTCTCTATGATAGCAGCTCTGGGTCACCCTGAGTGGACCTTCAGACTTTGGGGGAGGAGAGTGTGAGGGTATGTAGCTGTGTTCTTCTACTCTGAGGAATCAGGCCCAGGTTTCCTCTGACCCTTCTAAGTTTCGACTGCAAATCGGATGCCCTGAGTGTTGAGTAGTGTCGTTCCCTCAAAGTTTCTAGCTTTCCCAGGGTTGTATGTGTGTGCACGCATGCATATGGTATGTGTGTCTCGCCCACGTGTGCAGTAGGGCATCTTCTGTGGGTCTCTTTCTCTGTCAGTGTGGTGATATCCACAAACACGTTCCTTTGAGACTGTGTACTTTTGTATCTCAGAGCCAAATGCAATCGCGTTTTCTTGCCTGCTCATCTTCGTAAGCCCCTGCCTCCCACAGTCCCTTCCCCAGGGCCTGGCTGGCTCAGTTGATGACTGTTTGCTAACACACTGTTTTTCTTTGCATGCTGCATGCTGGTCCTTTGCCTTACAGAAGCTGCTGAAGGTAAAAACCTTGTTTCTTGTTAGCTTTCCCTAATTGCTGTGATTAGACACATGTTGGCTCAGGCGCATATGTCTGTGTGGGCTGTTCCCTTTCCCCTGCGGCTCTGTTGCCTCTCCACAGTTGAGCCATTAAGGCGTCTATGGTCTCCCTTAGGGTAGGGTGGGGGTGGGGGACCCTAACGGATTCAGGGAAAGGACAGGTGCGGTTGCTCTCTCTTGCTAAGACCCCTGGCAGGCACAGGTGGCCCCAGTGCTCCTGCTGGGTAGTCCTCACCCTCTGACCCCGTCCTCAGCCAACTCAAGCTGGACACCCCTGGATTAAAGGGACTGTGTACCCTTTGGTGGCAGCCTGTGGAGTCGGTGTTTCTTTTAGGACTCTTTCCACCTTTAAGGGACTCTAAGAGCTGGCAGCTGCTGGCTACTCTGTTCCCATGCCGAGCTCAAGTGGTGTTATCAGGACTGCCTTTGGCCTTCAGAAGATGCCAACTTCCCCATCCTATGGGGTGAGGGTGCCAGAAGTCATGGCGGTCTTCAGTTGTCCTAAGGAGAACCTCAGGTGCTAAATCTTTTCTTTTTCCTACCCCACAGCTGGACGTAAGCAGTTTGCCCGCCATGAGTGGGCCCAGAAGGCTGCATACCTGCTGGGCTGCAGCCTGGAAGAGCTGTCCTCAGCCATCTTCAAACACCAGCTGAAAGGGGGCACCCTGCAGCGGTCCACCTCCTTCCGTCAGGGCCCGGAGGAGAGCGGCCTGGGAGAGGGTACAGGTGCCTGGGGGCCCTCGCCTGAGGGGTGGAATCAGAAGGCCTTGCCTGAGACTTGCTGCCATCCTGGATGTGGGAGGGACGACTGGAGTGGATAGATGCTCCCAGAGGGACAGCCCCAGGACTCCATGCTATCTGTGTGGGTAGAGAGCGTTCTTGGGCAGGGGGTGTGGCCCCAAGGACCGAAGCTACATGTGTGTCTCTTGTTGCACAGGCACCAAACTGAGTGCTCTGGAGTGCTTAGAGGGCATGGCATCTGGGCTCTACAGCGAACTCTTTACTCTCCTCATCTCCCTGGTGAACAGGTAAGCGCCAAGTGGACTACAGAGGCTCCCTGCTTTCTGCTATAGTAGAAATGGGGTTGTTGCTTAGGGGGTGGTGGCTCAGGCAGGGCTCTCTTCCACCAGCAGAGGACTCCCTGTCCCTGTCAGCCAGGTGGGAGCCCTGGGTGCTGGGCAGAGAAGTGGGGCCCCCTGTGTGGTAGGGCCCCATCCAGCTCTGACCCAGGCTCTTCCCGCTAAGGGCTCTCAAGTCTAGCCAGCACTCGCTCTGTTCCATGATGATTGTGGATACGCCAGGCTTTCAGAACCCCGAGTGGGGTGGGTCAGCCCGTGGAGCCTCCTTTGAGGAGCTGTGCCACAACTATGCCCAGGACAGGCTGCACAGGCTGTGCCATGAATGCACCTTCCTGCAGGAGCTGGAAAGATACAAGGAGGTAGGTGGCTGCCCCAGCCCTGCGCCCCTCTTCTTCCAGCCAGGGCATCCTGGGCAGGGTCTCTGCATGCATGCAGCACTGAGTCCCAGCTCTCTGACCCCACTCATTTCTGCCTTCTGGAGCAAGAATTTTATTCAGGCCTTGGCTATGTCCATCTCTCTCTCCCTCTCTTCCTTCCTTCCTTCCTTCCTTCCTTCCTTCCTTCCTTCCTTCCTTCCTTCCTTCCTTCCTTCCTTCCATATTCTTTTATCTTAATATACATACTGTGTTCTCCCTGCATGTATGCCTGCCCATCAGAAGAGAGCATCAGATGTCATTATAGATGGTTGTGAGCCACCATGTGGTTGCTGGGAATTGAACTCAGAGCCTCTGGAGGAGCAGCCAGTGCTCTTAACCTCTGAGCCATGTCTCCAGCCCCCCAGCTGTGTCCTTTCTTTGTGGACAGTCTATAGTCCAGGAAACTGAAGGCATATTCCGAGTCCCAGGGAGATCTTGGTGCCTCTTTATGGCATCCTTTTCAGTTTGTGAATTTTCACAACGCAGTGTCTGCCTCAAGGTGGGACTTAGGTGCCTCTTCTCCCAGATCCCAGTCTCAGATCTCTTAGAATCTAAGATGGTGGCTAGCTATCAGGCCCCTCCCTGAAGAGGTCTCTGGATGTGAGTTCTGGGATTTCTTTCTCCTTCGGAAGAGGATATGTGTCTTGGATAAGAGGAGACCCCAGAGGGAGGGATGTGACCTTGTCTTCGTGAGTTCTAAAGACGATTGTGTGAGATGCAGAGAAGGCTTATTCTGCATTGCCTAACCAACTGATGCAGATAGCGGCAGAATGTGACTGCTGTTTGGTAGAAAAAGAGATTATGAGAATTTTAGCTGTCAAAAAATATTGAGTATTACCTTGGGAGGTAATGAGCAGTTTGTCCTTCAGGATAGTTTAGGGACTCCTGCATGGAGTTGAGGCATTAGATTGCTGTCACCAGAGGCCCTGCCTAGCCTGCTCTTATGGCTACGCACCCTTCGTGGCCCCGTGTGCATTACTGTCGTACCTTCTTTCCTAGGAGAACATCGAACTGGCATTTGATGACTTGGAGCCGGCTACAGATGACTCAGTGGCTGCTGTGGACCAGGCTTCCCACCAGTCCCTGGTAGGCATGTCAGGAAAGCCCAGGCTAGCCTCAGCTCTTTCCCACTCGATTGCCTCTGGTCGAGCCCTCCCGGCTGAGCTGCTGCTGGGGCTGCCACTGTGGTCTGAGGAAGGGTAATACCCGCATATCACGTACCAGCCAACTCCAGGGCTCTACCCTTCAGCACTCAGTCTGGCTGGGTGGTGTACACTCTCCTGCCTGGTCGGGAACCATCATCCAGAGTCCCAGCCAAACAAGTCCTCCTTCTCTCGCTACCCGAGGCTCAGACTCTGTCCTGAGCCTAACTGAGCTCTCAGTGTACCTGCCTCAAGCCCTGACATCTGCTGCTGGGGGGTGAGGGGGTGGGGGTGTGACTCTAAATCCATCCTCACAAGAGGAAAACAGACGCAGTCTACCAGGGCCTGGGTGAGGAAGCAGCGACACCCTTAAACAGCGTCAAGTGTAAAATGCCCAAGGGGACAGACAAGATGTGAGTCCTCACCCCACAGCCTTGGGGACAAGCTGTCACCCTCTCTGCTAGTATCTTGGACATCTTGTTGCCTGGGGCACTGGCTGGCTGGTCTAATGAGTGCTTGGCATTTGGTGATTGTCTTCAGTTCAGGGATTTGCAGCCTATACTGTTTTTTGGAGAGTGCTATTTTTGCTTTTCAGCAAAATTCTTGATCTGCTTGGCTCTCCCTGTTTCCTTGCTGTGGGCCTGCTGGGCTAGCAAGGCATGGGAACAAAGGCGTATAGTGCCAGGAGGCTCTCCAGGGAAGATGGAGATTCTGATCCCAATACCTGGGCTTCCATGGTGGCCTCCTTGGAGAGCCTTTGCCATCTTCAGATGGGAGGAAGCTGTCTTGGCGTCTCCTGAGCAGCAGGGGGCAGACGTGTGTTAGGCTGCAAATCAGTCATTAGGTTTCTGCTACCTGATGGTTCTAGGGCGGGGGTCTCCAGGGTCTTACCATGCCACTCCTTTCTGCCATTCATCTTCAGCTAACAGAATGCTGTCACCATCCATTGGTCTTTAGCCTTCTAGGAGTCAGACTGACTCCCTTCTATGGGGAGGGGAAATAGCACTTTTCTTATTTTTCTTGTCTGCCAGGCCCTAAAAGCCAAGCAAGAGTGAGGTGTGGGCAGTTCTTCCTGCCTAAGGGAGACAAGGGAGACACAGAAACACGGAAAAGGACCTTTCAGGCCAGATGTAGCCATAAGCTTAGCCTGTTTGGTCTCCGTGAGGTATTAGGAAGCAGGATTCCACCCTCTCTTGAAAAACCCCTGGCTTAGAGGCTGGGGGGTGGGGGGGCAGCTAGCTGATTGGGTAATGCTCTTACTGTGTAAGCATGAGGATTAGAATTCACTCAGGAGGCAGGGGATCCCTAGAGCAAGCTGTCTAGCTAGACTAGCCAAACTGGCAAGTTTAAGCAAGAAAGCCTGTCTCAGTATATAAGGTGGAGGCAAGCTGAGCAAGATACCAGACATTAACCTCTTTCCTCCATATGCATGTGCTCATACACACCCATACACCCACAGAGAGAGAGAGGGAGAGAGAGAGAGAGAGAGAGAGAAGGAATGGGAGAGGGAGAGGGAGAGCGAGAGAAGGAGTCTGCTTGAGTGACAGTCAGTAATTCCCTTCAGATGGGGACACATCCTGCTTCTGTTGGCCACTGCCTCCATAAAGAGCCACCTGCCTCAGGGGTTTGGTCCTTGAACTTACGGCCAGCAGCCTTCTAGGCACTCTCTGGGTTCTCCCCGTGAGGACCAGCGTTAACCCCGCATTTATTAAGAGCCTTCTTTGAAGCTGGGTACACACACCTTTAATCCTAGTACTCTGGAAGAAGAGTCTGATCGATCTTTGCGGGATTGAGGCCACCTCGGTCCACACAGCTACACTTTCTTTCAAAATAAATAAACAGCGAAAGGCCTTCCTTGAGCTTTGGCAGTGCACACACTTACGGTCGTCCCCCTGAATGTGCCGGGGAGTGAGGGCAGTGTGGGGCTGCCCTTGCTCCCCTGCCCTCTGAGGGGATAAGGATTGAGGAGAAACTCTGAGTATGGGTGCACAGCAGAAGAAACTTCAGTCTCGGGTGCCTTTGGGTGCCGGATCCCAGCAGTCTTTGGTGGTGGGCTCCTAGCATTCTTTCTCAGCTCCTTTCCTGTGTACGCCCATCTCTTCCACAAGATGTCAGCAGTGAGCAGCCAGAGCCACACTGTTCAAATTCAAGCAGACGTGATTATGGCTGTTAACAGTGTGTGCTTGGGAAGGGGCGGCTCCTTTTGCCCAGCTCCATTCGGCTAAGCTGGCTCTTCACCTTGTACGTAGGTTCGCTCACTGGCCCATGCAGATGAGGCAAGGGGACTACTGTGGCTCCTGGAAGAGGAGGCGCTGGTGCCAGGTGCCACTGAGGATTCCCTCCTCGACCGTCTTTTCTCCTATTACGGCCCCCAGGAAGGTGACAAAAAAGGTAGGTGGTGCCTGGAGGACAGCCCTTCTGCTTTGGAGAAGCCAGATGGCGCTCGCCAGCTGTGTGTGTGTTGGTGCCCTGAAATCTCAACTTTGCTTCCCCGTGCCCTCAGGCCAGAGTCCTCTTCTGCGCAGTAGCAAACCACGGCACTTTCTCCTGGGCCACAGCCATGGTACCAACTGGGTGGAGTACAATGTGGCTGGCTGGCTGAACTACACCAAGCAGAATCCAGCCACTCAGAATGCAGCCCGGCTCCTGCAGGATTCCCAGAAGTAAGGCCATCTCATATCCTGATCCTACAACTGTTCTCTGGGCTCCCTTTCTCTGGAGATATTTCAGAATCCATCACCAGCAAGGCAGATAAGCCTCCAGCCCCTGAGAGACAACAGCCAAGGCCACGTGGGCTTGAGGACACAGGAATAACCTGCAGAAACAGAGACAGGAGACATGGTTAGCGGGACCTATGGTTTTCAGTTTGAACAGCAAGCACCCTCACACTCTTCAGAGAAAGCAGAAACAACATAGTCAGCAAACTTGGAGGCACACACCTGTAACCTCAGCACTCAGAAATTAGAAGCGGGGGAGTCAGAAGTTCAAGGTCGTTGTCCTTGGCTACACTTTTGGAAGATTTTATTTTTTAATTGTGTGTTTGTGAGGGGAGGGGATGGGCACATGAATGCAGGTACCTCTGGAAGCCAGAAGAGGGCGTCAGACCCCCTGGAGCTGGAGTTATTGGGTGGCTGTGAGCCACCTGACGTAGGTGTTGAGGGCTGAACTCGTGCCCTCTGCAAGAGCAGTCAGTACTCTGAACTGCTGAGCGATCTTTTCAGACCCCTCAACAAAATGTAAAAACTAAGAAGTTATTTTAAAACCCAGAAATCACTGAGTGGTGGTGGCATACACCTTTAATTCCAGCACCCAGGAGGCAGAGGCAGGCAAATCTCTGTGAGTTTGAGGCCAGCACGGTCTACAGAGCAAGTTCTAGGACAGCCAGGGCTACACAGAGAAACCCTGTTTCAAACAAACAAACAAACAAACAAACAAACAAACAAACAAAGGCAGTTAAAACCTAGAAATCACATAATCCCTGTCCTCCATTTATGTCATAGATATTTAGATACAGGTAGAGAGAGCCCTGTAGGTGCCAGGCATTTAGCAGTGAAGACAGCACACATCCCTGCCCTATGGAAGAGACGTAATGAACAAGAGATGAAATACATAGGTTAATTATATAGTGTGCTGAGCTGTGTGTCACTAACACTCTCTGCCCCCACCGGTGCGGAAGAGGAGCGAGCGGATTGCCTCCACTGCCCGCTCCCTGCCTGCATGGCCTCTGTCTATCTTGGGTTTTCTCTTCTTCTAGTTTTACTATAGGATATGGGACATACTGCCCCAGGCTTCTGGCCGCGGTCATGTTGTATGTGTATGATGGGTACCTAAGGAGCTGGGGAATGGGGGTGCAGCCTCTGTCACCCTGTGCCGTAGCTCCTTTTCTGGTCTTGCCTCCTTCTGCAGAAAGATCATCAGCAACCTGTTTCTGGGCCGGGCAGGCAGCACCACGGTGCTCTCAGGATCAATTGCAGGCCTGGAAGGTGGCTCCCAGCTGGCCTTGCGCAGGGCAACTAGCATGAGGAAAACCTTTACCACTGGCATGGCAGCTGTCAAGAAGAAGGCACTGTGCATACAGATTAAGCTGCAGGTGGTAAGTGTTTAGCAAAGTCGCAGGTCCCTTCCTTCTGGTAGGTGGGCACTCATGGCATCAGTGCCCAGTCAGATCCACCTGCTTTGGTCACTGCCGGTGGGGTTGGTCGTCTTTTGAGTGCTGTCAGTATGGCTGGCCAGCCAGGCCTGAGGAAGGCAGATGTGTCCAGGCTTAACAGTGTCCTGGCAGGTGGCGGAGCAGCTGCTGTCCTGTGAGGAGAGGAGATGTAGCTTCCTAGAGTACTAGAGCATTGAAGGTTGTCTCTCTGTCTCTGGCAGGATGCCCTCATTGACACCATCAAGAGGTCCAAGATGCATTTCGTGCACTGCTTCCTGCCGGTGGCTGAGGGCTGGCCGGGGGAGCCCCGATCTGCCTCCTCTCGCCGAGTTAGCAGCAGCAGTGAGCTAGACCTGCCCCCCGGTGACCCCTGCGAAGCTGGGCTGCTGCAACTGGACGTGTCCCTGCTCCGGGCCCAGCTTCGGGGATCCCGCCTGCTTGATGCGATGCGCATGTATCGCCAAGGTGAGGTGTCTTCCTTCTTGGCCAAGCTTCTTTCCCAGAGCTTGCCCCATCCCCCACTGCTGCTCTCTTGTCCAGGGACTGGCTTGAGGACTCTCCTTCCTTCTAAGGTTCTTTCTTCTTACTATTCCCAGCCCAACCTGTTGTTCTATTCTTTTCTGCTTGGGGACTCTTCTCTTCCTCCTTTCCTTACTCATTCAGTACACACACACACACACACACACACACACACACACACACACACACCATCCTAAATGCCCTATCATTTGTTCTCATGGCTCCTCTTGCCCAGCATGCCTGGTGTGGGCAGGTCAGCTCTGCCCTGTAGCAGCAGATAAAAGACTCAGTGCCCTTTCGTCCCCATTTGCCCAAGGGTGTTAAATCTCTTTGAAGTACTTAAAACTCCCAAGAAAGGTCAGTAGATCCTTTTAATGGACCCAGCTCCAGGAGGGGACACGGATGACAGTAGTAGCAGTTGCCGTCTATACAGTATTTATGGCTCGCCAGGTGCTATTCTCGGCTCTTTCCCACATTAATTCGAAGCAGCCACGGAAGTGGTAACTAGTATCATCCCTAAGTAAGGAGCAAGGCTCAGAGAGGCCAAGGCATGTGCCCAGGGCCACCCAGTGGCAGAGCTGGATTCCAGCCAGGCAAGCTGGCTTGTCCAGCCTCTCAAGCAGAGAGGTTAGGAATTGCCAGGTTTCTGTTCATTTTTTTCTCCTCCCTTCCTCTAGAAGTGCAGGCTGGGTCCCATCCAACTGCAGACAGGTCCCTTGAGGTATCCCATGGGCACCCTCACTTTTCTTCAGCTTCGAAAGCCAGGAAGCGGGCTCCCTACCCTGTTCTAAATAAATCATCGATCTGTCCCCACATCTTGATATGGAGTTGGTGTTTATTATTTCAAAACCAGATTGTTACCGCTCTGAACCAAAATCAATGTGCTTTACTCAAACAAGCAGATCGATGAGACCAGCGGCGGCAGCCTCCCCCTCCCCCAGCCCCCAGCCACCATTGATAGCGCTGATGATTAATTAAGATGCCAGTCGTCCAGACCTGCTATCCTGGCCCATCAATTTAATTGCAATTCAGATACAATCAATAGCTCACTTTGTCTCGGCCCCTCGGCGGCCCCCACCTCCTGTTTCAATTACCAGGCACATGCATCAGCCTCGTCTCCCAGTTGGAGGGTTTCCCAGAGCTGGCTGGCCAGAGCGAGCCCCCAGCTGGCTGTCGGCAGCCCAGGTGTGAAGTCCACTCTGCCTCCAGCCGCAGCCTTCATGACCTTGGACAACCCCATGGCTCCAGTCCCAGGCCTCAGTTTCCTTGGCTGAAAGGAGAAGCAGATCCATTTGGGATCCTTTTCTGGCTTCAAAATCTGTAATCTGGAGGAGTGGACCTTTTGGCCCTCCCCTATGAGCCCTGATGAGGTCGGTACAATTGGGGTTACCTCCTGCTAGCCACTATTCTGACCTTGTTCCAAGCCAGAAGCCATCCACCTTACCCTTGCCTTGACCTCAAGTCCAGATGCTTTAGGGAAAGAGAGTTTCAGGGTTTGTTGTGGGTTTTTTGTTTGTTTGTTTTGTTTTCTGGTCATTTAGCCTTAAACTCAGAGTCAAGGTAGGGCAGGGAGGGTGCTCTTTCTGTAATCCTGCTACAGGAGACAGGGAAGTCCCTTTTCACTGAGTGTTCACCAAGTGAGCCAACCTGTGCTTACTCCACATTTTCTGATGTGGTCTCTGTAACTGCCATGTGGAATTGGGGCGAGCCCTCCCCCTGTTTAAAGGTGAAGATGGGCCTGCAGTGTGGCGTTAGCTCATGACAGAGAAGGGAGCCCCCACTCAGTAAGCCCTCCAAATGAAGATGAGGGACAGATGATTTGGGCATGACTAGGAGGTCTGAGTGACCTCCAGGATACTCTTTCTTCCAAGTACAGGACTCTATGATAATGCAGAGACTGAAGCCTTGATAAGGAAAAACAACAGGACATCAGATTATAGTTAAAGAAAAATGTGGGAGCTGGCCACAGACCGTGTGACACCTCTCTGTCTGTCTGTCTGTCTGTCTGTCTATCTCTTTCTGGTGTTGGGAATGGAACCTACAGCCATGCTCTATCCTATTGTAGAACAACTCTGAGGGTCCGTCCTTTCTGGGCCTTCCCTGTTGCCAGCCCCCCTCTGTACCCCCTCAGCTCATCCCATTCAATCAAGCTCGGTGTTGATGGATCTGGCTCTGGTTCTGTCTCCAGGTTACCCAGACCACATGGTGTTTTCTGAGTTCCGCCGTCGCTTTGACGTCCTGGCTCCACACCTGACCAAGAAACACGGGCGCAACTACATCGTGGTGGACGAGAAGCGGGTAGGTTTGGATCCCAGGGTCTTCGAAGTCCTCCTCACTCACTCAGGGTCCTCTGCCTGTCTTTCCTAGACACTGCAGGATGCGTCTTGCCCAAGGTTACAGAGTTCCAGCCAGCCGTGGCTACAAGGAGACACGATGCTGTGGCAGTGTGAGGACAGCTCAGAGCATGGGCTGTAGGGACTGGAGAGGAGCCACTGTCGTTGAAGGTCCAAGATTTGGGTGTCTGCGTTTTAGGAAGCCAGATAGTTGTACTGAGTAAACATGCTAGAGCCTCCCCAACAGATGGCTAGGATTTGTGTTTTGGGTATCCCGCGGACTGGGTCCCTTGGCCTCAGCTTCCATGGCAGGATCTGGTTCCTGAAGTAGGAAGCTGTCTAAGGCTGGGCAAGCTTCCTTCCTAGGAGGAGGCTGAGATGGCAGCTCTACTTTGGGGCCAGGAGCATTTAAGCTTCTTGCAGTCAAGAACGATGGACTCCTGACTGCAGAAGGGGTGCCTTTATCACTGTCCACCGCCACTTGCCCCACAGAGGCAGCTCCTCAGGCAGCCGGAAGCCTCCTTCCCTGTGCACTAGCCTCAGGCTTCCAGCTTGACTCTGAAAGCACTGCAGGCCTTAGGAGGCTTCCCTGAAGCAGGGGTGCTCTGTGGCCTAGGGAAGGAAAGCCCACAGCATTGCCTGCTCTGTCCCTGCGCAGTCCACCCCTTGTCCCTGACTCGGAGGTGTACATTCCTGGAAGCCTCAAAGACTTTTGTAGTCTCAGCCTGTCAGCATTTCATCTTACCCCTTCTCACTGGCCCTGATTTCCATCCTAGCCTCCCTCTCACGGCTATGGACTGTACCTGTCGGCCTGGAAAGACTGTCCTTCCCAGAAGGACATTTCTACATGAACTTCTCTGATCACAGCATCCTTCTTGTAGGTCTCCACTGCTCCAGCTGTCTGTTGGCCTCAGCCAGACCTTTCAATCTAGACCCAATCTATTCTCTGTTCCATCACTATTTTTTGAAATTTACTAGGGCACTGGAGAGATGGCTCAGAGATTAAGAGCAGTGACTGCTGTTCCAGAGGTCCTGAGTTCAATTCCCAGCAACCACATGGCGGCTCATAACCATCTATAATGAAATCTGGTGCCCTCTTCTGGTGTACAGGCATACATGCAAGCAGAATACTGTATATATAAATAAAAAATAAATCTTTAAGAATTTTTTTTACTAGCCGGGCAGTGGTGGTACACACCTTTAATCCCAGCAGTTTGGGAGGCAGAGGCAGGTGGATCTCTGAGTTTGAGACCAATCTGGTCTACAGAGTGAGTTCTAGGACAGCCAAGGTTACAGAGAGAAACAAAACAAAACAAATAAAAAAAATGTACTTAATTTCCTGCTCAGCCTTGGCACTGTGACCCAACCTACCCAGCACTTAGCTTTCATCACCCTCATTTCTCCTGAGCCTCCCACAGCTCTGTCTTACTCCTGCTCTGAAGGGCCAGCTCTTGGGTGGCCTCACTCTTCATATTAGACTCCCAAGCACTATGGAAAGAAGCTATATAACTCTGTAGACTTAAGTCCCTATAGGTTTGTGATATCAACTTCAGGTGACCCTTGGCATGGCCTAGGGAAGCGTCTTCGTGTCCCTCCTTATATGGCTGTATCACCAAGCTCCTTGCCTGCTATCTCATTCACCTCTTTCAAGTCCTCCCCTACCCTGCCTTCCCAGGACACCTTCCCAGCAGATGACCTTGACTCTGAAATCAAAGGTCCAGCTTTGTCTGCCATCTTTATACTTCTCTTCATCTTCTACCTTCTTGCTATCCCCCATCCTGCCTTGGTGAGTGCAGGGTAGAGGTAAGCCATTTCTTTGTGTGCAATTCCTTCCTCTGTGGCTTAGAATTCATTCCATCAGAGATAATCATTTCTTTCTTGATCTTCAGCTGCTCCTAGCTCTTTATTAGAGTGGTTCCACAGACATCAGCCATAGAAGCCACTGCACCTGAAAGAGGGTCTTTGTCCAGCTCTCAAGCTGCCCAACTTTGTAGCCTGGGACTGTCCATATTTCCTCCTGAGCTCCCACTGCCATTTATTCTCCTATCTCAGCTGCCTGTCTTCTACCCTGGCATTCTGGGGCTGGTGTCACCATTGCCTCCACGCTGCCAGAACCATTGGACGTTTTTCTATTCTCTGTTTGACTTTTCTAAAAAATATAAATATATATTTATTTTTATGTGTTTAAGTGTTTTGCCTACATGTATGTATGTGTACAACTTGCATGCTTGTGCTCATGGAGTCCAGAAGAGGACATCAGATCCCCTGGGACTGAAGTTACAGACGATTGTGAACCACCATGTGGGTGCTAGGAATGACACCCGGGTTCTCTGGAAGAGTGGCCAGTGCTCTGTAAACTCTGAGCCATCTCTTCAGTTGCATTATTTTTTCAATTCTTTGAGACAGGGTCTCACTATGTAGTCCTGAGTTTCCTGGAACTTACTCTGTAGACGAGGCTGGCCTATACCTGCCTCTGCCTCCCAAGAGCAGGGAGTGAAAGTGTGTACCCCCTGCCTGGCTATTCCTTGAATTTGTTCCTTGAGTTCTTGACATGTGACTTTACTGACAGCTCTGTTATTTTGAAATGTTTTTTGTTGGTCTTCTTTACCACCATGCCCAGTTTCCCTTGTCCCTGCTCTTCTCCCTCTAAAGGTCTCAGCCCCCACTTGATGCTTTAGTAGAGATCTCACCCCTCAGTACTCTATCCATGGCTCCGATTTGTATTCAGCTGTCTCTCCCTGAACAACCTCATTCACACCCATCACTTCAATTACCACATATATATCGATGACTCCCGGATCAATGCCTCAGCTAGACCTCTCTCCCACACTCCAGGCAAGCACGTCTGTCTCACTGCCTTCTGGATCTCTCTCACCCCAGACTGAGCACGTTCAGACCTCCCAATCCTGTACCTCACATATTCCTGCTTCAAATCTGGCTCTGAGAGAACACGCAGAGTTCCCGGCACAAAGGGCTCCCCACACCCTGACTGCTGCCCACCTCTCTTCCTGCACTTTAATCCCAGAGCCCCTCACTGTTGCAACATGCACTCTTTCATCCTGTGACCCCAGGCCTTTGCTCAAGTCGGCAGCACTTTCCAAAATGCCTCTTTCTAACTGGTAGTTAGATTCTCTGGCCAAGCAGTACTCTTCTGGGGTCCTTCACACCCAACTCCTCACTAACTTCCTTTTTTTTTTCTTTTTTTTAAATTTACTTCACTTGCCTTGTCTCCACTTGTCTTGTCCCCCAGCAACACAATTTGTTCTTCTTCTAGTCTCCTCTGGTCCCCAGAGGGGATGTAGTGGCTGGTACCATGGAAAGCTAGCTGAGGAGCTTTCTAGGAGGGATGCTAAGAGAGGGCCAAGTAAATGGAGATGGGGAGAGCCTGTGAGGACCTGATGGTGACCTTTGTCTCTGCAGGCTGTGGAGGAGCTGCTGGAGTCCCTGGACCTGGAAAAGAGCAGCTGCTGCATGGGCCTGAGCCGGGTAAGTTGCCTGCAGCTGGGCAGCCAGGTGGTTTGCTCCCTGGTGGCCCTAGTCAGATTGCTGCCCTCCTCTCTACTCTGCTGCTCAGTCAGACTTTGAAATCTCCTTCTGAGTCTTTTCCCTGCCCACCCCCAACCCCCACCCCTGACTAGCCACTCGGAAGCTGCCTTTTCTTCAGCCAGAAGCCAGGATGTAAATGTCCCAGCTTCAGCAAATTTTACTTTCTCACCAAGATAGCTAACTGGTTCAGGACTAACTGTGATGTCAGTAGGGAATGGGTTGGAGCATGGCTCTGACCTTGGCCTGAGGCCCATGTGAGGAGTGGGAAATGGGAGGAGCCTAGACTTGGAGGAGGGGGACTGGAAAAGCCAGAGGTGAGTGCTCCAGAACACCACTAGGGTCCATCAGAGCAAGCAGGGACATGGTGAGCTGGGCCACCCCTACCTGCCCATGGTCCAATTCGTCATCTAAATGGAATGTGTAACCAGAAAGTAAAGTCAGGCATGCCTGGCCTTGGGTTCACACCAGAGGGTCAGCTGAACAGTCCTCCTACAGGCAGGGAGCCCTGCCCACCTCTCCCCTGGCTAGAAAGCTTGGATAGCTGGCATTCTCCAGTGTGCTCTGGGAGCTGGCATGGAGGAAGGGCAGGGGCAGCCAGAGAAAGAGTCATTGATATGTTGTTCTCTGTCAGCAGAGAGACAGGGGACTCTGGTCACAGAGCCTTTGCACAGGGGAGGTGGAGGGAGAGGCATACATACTCCTTGCCCTCTGTCCTCTAGCCTCCAGGGTCAATCAAGGTCTCCATTTTTCCTGACCCTCTCACTGAGTCTTCTCATCTCCATTTCTGCTATCCTTGGCTTTCTGTTTTCCATTGGGTCTCCAAAGTCCCTGCTGCCCCCTGTTTATTGCTTCCTGGTCCTGGTTTTCCTTTCCTTATTCTGTGTTTGTTCCCACCCCTGTGGTGTCATTTTTTTCTGCTCTGGTCTCTCCTTTGTCTATGGCATCTGCCTCCCTTCCTTTCTCTCTGGTCACCCTCTACCACACACACACACACACACACACACACACACCACCTTTTCTGAGACTCAGAGGCCGCCTGCAGTCAAACCCATTCCTTTAGCTACTCAGCATCTCAGTTAGTTCACACCCAGGGTTTTCTGTGAGCTCCTACCCCTCTAGCAGGCTGGACCGCTGGTGGCTGGTACTGGGAGTGGCACTCCAAGCCAGTTCCCAGTTTCCCAGACACATCTCAGGCAGGAACAGGCCCATACAGGTTGCTCTTCTCCTGGCCGCATCTTAGGCCCTCAGCTGTCCTGATTCCTCCTTCCCGGTGCCAAGCTGAGGCAGGTGAGCCACAGGGGCCTGCTGATACTCTAGGGGGAAAGGGGCGAGGCTGGGTGTTTGCTCTGAGACAAGAAGCTTCAGTTTTGCAGGCTGCACTTGGCACAGGCTGGTGAGAAAGGACCGGGTGTTCGTTAGAATGCTTCAGTGCACGGACCTCATTAGAGGCCACTGGGCCAAGACTTTGGGAGTCTGAGAGCCTCCTGATACTGTAAAATCTGCATTAACTCAAGGAAGGAGATGACCATAGTCTTTCACCTAGTACTCAAATGATGCTAATTTTTTTTGTGTGTGCGTGCGTGTAAGTATGTGTTTGTGCTTGTAGTGGGCACTGTTGAATAGAGACCAAGGATTGAATCTGGTGGCGTCCTCCCTTGATCTCCACCTTATTTGTTATTCCCTTGTTTTAGAGGACAACTTGCTCATTCTTCTTTCTACCATGTAGGTACTGTAGATCAAACTCAGGTCCTCAGGTTTGGTGTGACACAGGACTTAACTCACTGAGCCACCTCATCAGCCCCCTCCACCTAACTTCTTTGAGCAGAGTTGGGAACTCGCTGGCTGGCTAGACAGGGGAGCCAGCTCCCCTGTCCAGACCCCTCCAGACCCCTCTCTGCTCCCTCCCCAGTCCCCAGGCACAGAATTACAGACAGGTACCACCACACATGCAGCTGCTGGGGGTCTGAACAGAGACCCCTTTGCTTCTACAACAGGCATTTAAGAGGGTGAACCAGCTCCTTAGCTCCCCCAGGAGGACCCTTAACTCCACAGCTGTTCAAGAGCTTAGGGACATGCATCTGTAGCCTTTAGACCGTTTTCCTCATGGTGTTTCAGGGCATTCTGTCTCTCTGTGTCCCACTCCCTCACTTCCCTGTTTGCTAACCAAGTGTATTTGCTTGACCTAGGAGCAAATTGGCAGTTCCTCCTCTTAGCGGTTCTCATTTATATTACTGGAAACTGAGGCAGGAGTTTCCAGTAACCTCAGACTTAAAATGCATGGAAAGTCCCACTTTGCCAGCTGGTAGGATTTGGGACAGTATCGAAATGACTGAGCTGGCTGTTTTCCAAAGCTGGTCTTAGAGGATGAGGCTTCTGTGTGGCCACCTGGGTGTGATGTTCTCCTCAGGGTTAGGCCCACTCCCTGCTCCTTCCCTGAAGGGGACTCTGGGATCCTTCCCCTAGATGGGCTTTGTATTACTTGTGCTCCTCTTGATTTCCTCTCTGTACCACAAAAGGGAGTTTCATTTTCTTTCTTTTTTGAACATTTATTGTTTACGTGTGTGTGTGTGTGTGTGTGTGTGTATGCGTGTGCACGTGTACAGTTTATGCCATGTGTATGAAGAGCCTCACATCGGCCAGAAGAGGGCATCAGACCCCCCTGGAACTGGATTAACTGTGAGTCACCTGATATGGGTGCTTCAAACCAAATTCAGATCCTCCAGAAGAGCAGGTAGTACTCCTAACTGCTGAGCATCTCTCCAGGCTGTCTTTCTTTTTAGAGATAAATTTTATTTATTTATTATTTGTTTACTTGTTTGCTTATGAATGTGTTCATTCCACATGGATGGTCAGGAGAACCTGAGGCACTCAGTTCTGTCCTTCTACCATGTGGGTCTTGGGGACCAAACTCAGCTTGGCAGCTCAGCCATCTCACAGGCCCTAAAAGGGAGATTTGTTTTTATTTTTATTTTTTTGTGCTCTGTACCAGGATATATACCTAGTGCCCCTTTGCCTTCTCAAGGACACCAGAGTCATCATCTCCTGCTCTGCTTCTCTTATAAGGCAGCAAAGAGTGGGAGGAACAGCTGGGTGTAGGGTGCCCAGCAGGTTCCCTGCACATCTGTCTTCCAGCCCCCAAACCTGTATGACAGGTCTGTTGCTGTCACGCCCACCTCACCGGCTTCTTCAGGAGAGTGTGAAACCTGGGGGTAGGGGTGGGGCGGTGACATGAAAGAGGAGGTGGCTGGAATGAAGCTGAGCAGGAGGTGGAAGGGCAGAAGCCCCACCCCCACTCTTCGTGTGGGGGAACCCACATGAAAATCTCAAATCTTCTTCTCACACCCAGACACACCATCATGCCAGTCACCCGATCCCAGGTGTCTAGAGCTGTACTTGGGCCCTACAGTGGATCATGGCACCCCACATAGAGACAGAGTCACAAATATAGCTGAAGGGCCTCCCCTCCTTGTTTGGCCAGTGAGGGCTTCCTGTTCCTCTTTGCCCCAGGTATCTTCTCTGCCTGGAGCTGCTGTCATTTCTCTTTGAAGTTCGACTTCCCACTTCACTCCTCCAGACCCAAAGCCTTCCACCTCCCTGGCCCTCCCTCCTAGAGCACCTCCCCTCCTCTCTTGGGCAAGTAGATTTTCAGGCTCTTCCTGAACTAAGGTCCACGCTCCCTATCCTGTTCGCTCCCTATGCTGGCTGCCTGTGCCTCGGGCTCCTCATCTGTCTTTGCTGTCCCAGCCCAGTCTCCGGCTTTTACCAGACTGCTTCCCCGACAGGTGTTCTTCCGGGCAGGCACGTTGGCACGGCTGGAGGAGCAGAGAGACGAGCAAACCAGCAGGCACCTGACCCTGTTCCAGGCGGCCTGCAGGGGCTACCTTACCCGCCAGCACTTCAAGAAGAGAAAGGTGCTGCTCTAGGGACATCCCAGCCTTGATGGCAAGACAGCGTATCTGTGGGAGGGCATGCGGGATACACGCCAGGGAGTTCAAGCCGTTATCATCGTCTGAGAAGGAGGTGGGGAGCATGCTTGAGTGCCCAGCAACGTGGACGCGCACCCTGGCCGGGGTGCTGTGTTGCAGGAGCGTGGGGGGAAGCAGGGCCCAGGCAAAGGTGGGCTCGGGTTCATGGGCTGCTCTATGAAGATTAAGGAGCTGTGTCAGCGACTCCTTTTCTTATTAGCAAGTCCATAAAACAGCCAGCACTGCCGCCTCTTGTGTTTCAGCAAGATTAGGTTTTATAGCACAGCTAGGCCAGGGTGCTGGAAATAATCAGGCAGCAAATAAAGCAGATGAAATTATTCCTAATGACGGTGGGACGTGGGAGCCCCACGTACCTCACCGCTCCCTGCCCACCCGTCCTCTGACGGGGTGGAGGAATGTGGGGGCCAGGTAGTCGGGAAAAGGCTCCTGGGTCAGGGGGTCTCGGGGAGCTGACCCAGGAGCCGTGCTGGTGCTGGGAAGCGGCTTCACCAGGGAGAGCTGAACGTCCCTCACGTGGCAAACCCAACTGCAGATCCAGGACCTGGCCATCCGCTGTGTGCAGAAGAACATCAAGAAGAACAAAGGGGTGAAGGACTGGCCCTGGTGGAAGCTCTTCACCACCGTGCGGCCCCTCATACAAGTCCAGCTGTCCGAAGAGCAGATCCGCAACAAAGACGTGCGTGACCTCCAGGGCTAGCCGGGGCCTGGGAGGGACTGCGTGTACACAGGGGTCGCGCTGGGGCTAGGGTGCTCATAGGGGCAGTTGGAAGAGCTGGTGTCTTTGAACTGTGCCCCTCAAGCAGCTGTCTCCCTGGAGTGCTGCCTGGGCCCTAGGTAGCTTCCTAGGGTAAAATCGCAGGCACCCCCTGCTTACAGAGAAGGGTGCAGGCTCAGGAGTCCTGGGAGGCTCTCCTGTTGGGGATGTGTCTCCCTTTTGTGTCCACGGAGGACAGACGTGGGGTCTTCACCCCTCACAGTACCTTGCCCCCTGCAGGAGGAGATCCAGCAGCTGCGCAGCAAACTCGAGAAGGTGGAGAAAGAACGGAATGAGCTTCGGCTCAACAGTGACCGGCTGGAGACCCGGGTGAGTGACTCAGTCACCAGTCAGACTGGCCCGCTGCCCCAGAGGGCCCTGGCCCATGAGCCCAGAGTCCTGGCTGGGTGAAGCAGTCGCTTCAGCTGGTGACACCATCCCCCCGCCCGGCCCCCCCCAACCCCAGATCTCAGAGCTGACATCGGAGCTGACTGATGAACGCAACACAGGAGAGTCCGCCTCCCAGCTGCTGGACGCGGAGACGGCCGAGCGGCTGCGAGCTGAGAAGGAGATGAAAGAGCTACAGGTGAGGGCAGGGCCAGGGCGAAGACCGCAGGCTGGTGCCTGCCACACTCTGCTTCCCCAAATCCGCTTGGCACCTCCTCTTCTAGCTCGACTTCTCTGTCTGCCTGGGGTAAGCGTGTGGCCTGCGTGGTTTAGGACATTGGGGAGGACTTGGAAGGCTTACCGGCTCTTCCCTTCAGACCCAGTATGATGCGCTGAAGAAACAAATGGAAGTGATGGAGATGGAGGTGATGGAGGCCCGGCTCATTCGGGCCGCCGAGATCAACGGGGACGTGGATGACGGTGATGCAGGTGCGTCTGAAGTGGAGGAGGCGGGCAGAGGCCTGAGTGGCAGGCCCTGATGCCTGTCCCTGGGGAATCAATCACACACCCTGTCCAGACTTGTCTTCCCTCTGTGAGCCATTTTAATCTAAAGAATAATAAATAGATGAGGAAGCAGAGTTGCTGAAACCAGGCATGGTGGTACATGCTTGTCGTCCCAGGTGACAGAGTTCAAGGTCGTCAACTATATAATAAACCCAAGGACAACAGCCTGGGGTACGTGAGATCTTGTCTCAAACCCCAAACAAACAAAACCCTCAAAGCCACAATGTCAAGGTGCTGAGAATGAACGGGTTGAGCCACTATGGTAATGACAGGGGCTGTGGTCCTGGTGGCCTCCAGAGAGAAGATAGCACAGGTCCCCCTGTCTCCCTCTCTGGACTTTGTCCTGGTGGTAGTTCCTTCTAGAAATCACTCCAGAAATAGTCCTAAGGCCTTCTGGCTGGCTCCACTCACTCCTCCTTCCTGCCCCTCTCCTTCTGTCCCCTGCCCCTTCCTGGGGACCATCAACAACTCAGGAGCCGCCTGTCCCCTACCCTGCAGGGGGAGAGTGGCGGCTGAAGTACGAGCGAGCTGTTCGGGAGGTGGACTTCACCAGGAAGCGGCTCCAGCAGGAGCTGGAAGACAAGATGGAGGTGGAGCAGCAGAGCAGGAGGCAGCTGGAGAGGCGGGTGAGGCTGGCCAGGGCAGTGAGGCTTGTGTGAGGAGGGCTGGGGCTCAGTGCCATGTTGCTTGGCAGATAAGCCAGAGGCAGCAGGCAGACCCTGGGAGGAACAGGGGAAGGGTGTGTTAGCCGGTCCTGAAGGGACAACTAGGAACTACTGTTTGGGTATCGCATCTTAGATTCTGAACGCGTCCCTGCTCTCATCCTTCCCCCACCGCCTGGCCTCTCCGTGGCCGCGGAGCACTCATACTTTCTCCACCTCTAGCTTGGGGACCTGCAAGCAGACAGTGATGAGAGTCAGCGGGCGCTGCAGCAGCTCAAGAAGAAGTGCCAGCGGCTCACGGCTGAGCTGCAAGACACCAAGCTGCACCTGGAGGGCCAGCAGGTCCGGAACCACGAGCTGGAGAAGAAGCAGAGGAGGTGTGTGGCCCTGCCCTGGGTTCCCAGAGCCTTCGAGCCGCGGGACCTGCGCATGGCCGTTAGTGCACGCGCGTGAAACAGGCTCAGTTCTGATCTTTCGGGAGGAGTCGGGCCGCGTCTACCTGGAAGGCCGCTCAGGCCTCCGTTCACACGTGCCTCACTCAAAGTGTACATGTGACCTGTCCCAAACCAAAAAGGACAGGCTTTTGCCAAGGCCAGAACCACAGGTCCCCTGCTCCTGCCCCTCCTGCCCCTCCTGCCCCTCCTGCCCCACACCCCCGCTCCGCCTGAGTTGCTCTCTCGCTCACCTCCACTATACAAGCACAGTCTCCTGACTAATGTCATTAAACTCCCGTGCCACTTCCATCTCATTATGGTAATGACGGGAAGGAGGGGGCAGCCCTCACAGGAGAAAATCCAATCTAAATTAATTTCCCTGGCTGGGGATGGAATGGGGCGCCTTTATTAGCAGTGCGAGGAGCCCACACACCCTGGGAGCAGCAACGCCTGAATCCCCTCTGCCAGCTTCTACAGAGGTACCAGTTACCTTTACAGGGTGACCTCACCCCATGACCCCGGCAGTGAGAGGGGCAGAACAGAGTCCCCTCCTCCCAGTAATGGCTTACCTACCTTATGTGTCCCCAGCTCCCATCACCTTCCTTGCCAACTGCTTCCTGTTACTCTGGGGAGAGCCAGGGGGCTCAGAAGGCCAGGACAGCCAGGCAGTCCACTTCCCTCATTCTCTAACCCCGCTCTGTCCTTGTCCCTAAAGACTGACATTCTTAGCAGAAACCTCTCCTTCATGAGCACCCCAAAAAGACGGTGCCAGCTTGGCCTAGTTACCATGTCGCTGCACTCCCCGCTGGGCAACTTATTAGGTTTCAGCTACCTGGAGTTTTCTTACTTCTTTTCTGCTGTGGGATGGGGAAGGGGCTGTGGAGTTTCCACAGGAACCTGATTAGTTATGCGGGGAAGGTGTAAGAGGGATTTCAGCAATTTGCTTCCCATTTAGAGTCACTGGGCGGGAAATGGAAGACGGGAAGTAGAGGAGCAAAGGCTCCTGACTGAGTGCCTCTTTTTTTTTTTCTTATTTTAAGATTTATTTGTTATATATATATATATATATATATATATATATATATATATATATATATATATATATATATATGAATGCTCTCTCTACACATACACCTGCATGCCAGAAGAGGACATAAGATCCCAGTATAGATGGCCGGGAGGCACCGTGTGGTTGCTGGGAACTGAACTCAGGACCTCTGGAAGGGCAGAGGTGCTCTTAACCCCTGAGCCAGCTCTCCAGCCCCCGAGGGCCTCTGAGAGCACATTGCCAGCTGGGCCTGCAGGAAGGCTGTCCAGCCCTGGTAGTGACTCTGGTACCGCTGAGGTGGGTGGCAATGACCAGACGCAGGGCAGAAGCCAGCAGCTGTCCTGCACTTGCTGGGTCGAACATAGAGTGAGCTGTAGGAACTGGATGCCATTTCTACTCACCCTTTTGCTGCTCTGCTCTCACTCTGGCGCCTTATTCTTTGAGCTGTTGGAGAATATAGAGATTTTGTCTCCTGCCTGCTCCATAAGCAGAGTGTGGAAGCCTGCTTGATGAAGCACTGAGCGTCCAACAGGGCCTCAGTATCTGACCTGTAAATCCTGAATTCCAGTTCCATGTCAGCAGGGCCCCAAGTTAGGACTGTATGAGTCGTTCCTGCTTGTCTTGTCTCTGTCTACGGCACCTCTTCCTGCTAGTCGCAGGGTGCCGGAGACCTAGACTCTGTCCTTCTGAAGAGGCCACCATGCTCCCCCACAGGTTTGACAGTGAGCTTTCCCAGGCCCATGAGGAGACCCAGAGGGAGAGGCTGCAGAGGGAGAAACTCCAGCGGGAGAAGGACATGCTCCTGGCCGAGGCTTTTAGCTTGAAGCAGCAGCTGGAGGTACCAGGGCTGAGCCCCTTCCTTCTCCATCTCCCCCATGGCCTGGGGACAGCCCTGTGCCAACCTCACCTTCCCTTTTGCTCTAGGAAAAAGACATGGACATTGCAGGGTTCACCCAGAAGGTCGTTTCCTTGGAGGCTGAGCTTCAGGACATTTCTTCACAAGAGTCCAAGGATGAGGCTTCTCTGGCCAAGGTCAAGAAACAGCTCAGGGACTTGGAAGCCAAGGTCAAGGATCAGGAAGAGGAGCTGGATGAACAGGCGGGCAGTATACAGATGCTGGAGCAGGTACCTAGGGTGGCCAAGGGAGGGGCAGGTGCAGCAGGAAGTTCTGCCACCCTCATCATTAACACAGGGAAGCACAGAGTCCACATTGTCCATCCATTCATTCATTCATTCATTCTCTCAATCACTCATTCACCTACTCATAAAATGCGGAGTGAGTACGTGATGTGTGCCAGCCCCAGCGTGAGGACAGTTAAGCTGCCATAGAGCTTTTCACAAAAGCTAGCGAGGAAAGAATGAGAAGATAATGCTACCAGAGGGCCAGGAGCCAGCCGAGCATGTGACCAAACAGCCAAGTGAGTTCAGGAAGCCGTGCTCAGGGAGGGAAGGCATTTAGTAAGGAGGCACGCTACAGCTTCCCTAGCGAAGCTGGCTGTCAGGAGCAAAGTGTGAGCAGGTGAAGAGAACGGTGATGGAGGTGGTCTGTGCACCTCGGGCAGGGCCTTGTTGGGAAAGGAACCTAGTCCCACTGCCAACCCACAGGCCAAGCTGCGTCTGGAGATGGAGATGGAGAGGATGAGACAGACCCATTCCAAGGAGATGGAGAGTCGGGATGAGGAGGTGGAAGAGGCCCGGCAGTCATGTCAGAAGAAGGTATGGAGTCTACGATCTTCCTAGGCTGGTATACAGGCCTGTTCCATATCAGCACTTTAAAGTGAGGGGCTTTGTTTTGTCCCACCTTAGGGCCCTGTATTCTCTTCTCTCAGGACTCAGGTCTGGCCTGGGCTGCACCTTTCAGTCTGTAGGAAAGCTTGGGCCCCTAAAGAGCAGTAGTGCCTCACCTACAGGGTCAAGTGGTGGCCATTCTTGTGTTCCGCTGGAGCTGCCTTTGGTCAGCCACTGAGCTGGACAGATCTCCACCCTGCCCGCTCTGTGTCTACTGTGGCTCTAGTAGAAGCTTGTGGCCTGCGGTCCCCATCCAGCACTCGCACCTCTTTGGGTTGCCCACACTCTGCCCTGCCCCATTGTTCTGGATTGAGACACTCAGCATGGGAAGGGACCCCGGCCATGCACAAAAAGGACAATGGGCCTCTGTTGCCATGGCTCTGCAGCTAAAGCAGATGGAAGTACAACTTGAGGAGGAGTATGAAGACAAACAGAAGGCACTTCGGGAGAAACGGGAGCTGGAGAGCAAGCTGTCCACCCTCAGTGACCAGGTGCGTGGGGACGGCCCCCTGCTCCACTGAGCCAGGCATGGGGTGGTGCTCTGCAGCAGGCACCACATCACAGAGGGTGACGAGGGCATCCTTCATCCCCCAGGCCCTTCTCGTTAGCCAACACGGTCCAGATATGCACCCTGCTCCTTCAGGAGAGTGTGAGGGTGGACAGGGTTAGCAGTGTGGGAGAGATTTACGGAAGTTCCGTGGTGGAGCTCAGTGCCTTCCCGGATGGTGTCCCCCCTAGGTGAACCAGCGGGACTTCGAATCAGAGAAGCGGCTGCGGAAAGACCTGAAGCGCACCAAAGCGCTGCTGGCAGATGCCCAGATCATGCTGGACCACTTAAAGAACAATGCCCCCAGCAAGAGGGAGATCGCCCAGCTCAAGAACCAGGTACCTTGCTCAGAATCCGCCGGTTCCAGGGGCAGCTGGGAAACGCATTTGTTTAATTACTTTTCTACTGCTTGTTCTTCTTGCTGGCTCTTACGTTCTTGAGAAGGAAGATGGCTGGAATGTGATGACAGGCCACTCAGAGCAGCCAGATTCCCCAGGGTCTCTGTGCCCTACAGCATGGCTACGAGGCCTTAGGGTGGTGTGGACAGGGCCTCTTGTCTACTGGAGGAGAAAACAATGTATGCACCACAGCACAGCTGTGGCTCCTAGACTGACTGACCTTCAAGAAGAAAGAGGAGGAGCGAGGAGGGGGAGGAGGAGCAGAGGCAGACAGTGTCTGAGCCCTTTCTCCCCTGTGAGGCAGTGGTTCTGCACAGCGTGGTTGATGTTTCTTCCCTGGGTTGGGGTGGCTCTGTGTCCAGCTGGAAGAGTCAGAGTTCACCTGTGCAGCAGCTGTAAAAGCACGGAAAGCCATGGAGGCGGAGATGGAAGACCTGCACGTGCAGATTGATGACATCGCCAAAGCCAAGACCGCGGTGAGGGGCAGAGTATACAGGGCAGGGCTGGGGACTGAGGGAGAGTCCAACCGTGACGGGAGCCGTGTCCACCCCACACAGGTCCTTTCCTGCCAGGGATTCCTGCAGGATAAACACCCCGACCCCAACTCTCGTCCTCTGTCCTCTGCTTTCTCCCCACTCGGAGCAGAGTCTTGAGAGGAGGGAGGGCTGGCAGAAGAGGGAGCCAGCCAGGGTGCGTAGCTCCCTGTTTAACCACCTGCCTCTGGGAGCTTGGCCGCAGGCCCTGGAATCATAAATAAAGGCAGCTAATGTGGCTGAGGGATGTAAGCAGGTGCCTCGAGATTAGCAGAAGCACCGATAAGAGGACAGGATGGCTAGGCTTCCTCTCCCTCCCCCTGCCCAGCCCACTGACAAGCCCAAGCGGCAGCTAATTAGAGCTTTTATTTAATGCCTCCCTTTTAATTCCCCACCTCTCCCACGGCCCATCCATCGGCTGTGTATTCACTCCTGGGACGTAGCTACACGTACCTCCTCAGGCCAGGAATGGGGCAGGGAAGGAGGCAGGGTTTAGCTGTTGGCTTCATGGCCCCTAGCTAGTCACCCTGCTGCTGAGAGATGCCAATCTCACAGGCTTGATTTATCTTGTGACATTTGTGCTCCTCAGCAGTTTCCAGGTGAGTAATTCAAATTCCTTAATTGTGTTAAAAAAGGCTGTTATAAAATTACCATTTTATTTAAATCTGAGTTAATAAATTTCTTGGCGGAGGCTTCCCCAGCTCCCCACAGCCCAGTAACAAGATGGATGGGGCAGAGAAGGAGCCAACACAGTCATTTTGGTTTGGAATTACAGGCTAATAGATTCATTCATTTCCTGAAGCTGCTGGTGCTGTCTCTTCCCCTCCCCCCAGGCTGGGAAAGCTGGATGACCCAAGAGTGGGCCATCCCAAGGGTGAACAAAATCCAAGCCAGGGGATGTCACCAACTTGAAAGGTCTTTTCCCCAAGGCCTGATGTGGGCAGAGTGCATGCCAGTCAGGCTGATATACAGGGATGATGGGTCATTTGTTATGGGCACAATTTTTACCTTCTCATTAGCCTTGAAAGAGCTGCCAGAAAGCAGCTGTCATTTAGCACCTAGAAGCCCAGGGTCTGCCCATCACACAGAAACAACTCTGTCTCTCATCTCCCTGCCCAAAACTCATCAGGTAGCTTTGCTGACTCTGGAACCCACTCCAGCATGCCATCATTTCCCTACCCTACACTCTCCCCACCTAGGAGAGGTGGTATGGGTGGGGAGGGTTTGGACTTGCTACCCCAGGGCCTGCAGGTACAGGCCTGATGCCCTCTGGTCTCCCCTGCCTCTGTCCAGCTGGAAGAGCAGCTGAGTCGCCTTCAGCGTGAGAAGAACGAGATTCAGAACCGGCTGGAAGAGGATCAGGAGGACATGAATGAGCTGATGAAGAAGCACAAGGCGGCCGTGGCCCAGGTACCCCGCCAGGAATGATATCATAGTTACCATCCTCTGGGCCACCTCATAGATCCCCAGCTAGGTGTGTGTGTGTGTGTGTGTGTGTGTGTGTGTGTGTGTGTGTGTGTGTGTGTGTGTCCTGGAACTCACATTGTAAACCAGGCTGGCCTTGAACTCAGAGATCTGCCTGCCTCTGCCTGGGTGCTGGGACTAAAGGCGTGCGCCACCATACCTGGCTCTAGACACTTCTTTGAAAAGACATAGCTTGGGAGTCTAGGTGTTGTGGCCCTCAACGGGAAGGGGCTGAATTTCTGTTTTGGGGCAGCCTTTTCCCCATTCTCTCCCTCCTTTCCCAGGCCTCCCGGGACATGGCACAGATGAACGATCTCCAAGCTCAGTTAGAAGAATCCAACAAGGAGAAGCAAGAGCTACAAGAGAAGGTGGGTACCACAGATTCCCTTGGGAGTGAGAGTCAGGGATCTCTGGGGATGAGCCTTGGTCTCCTCGTAGGGAGGGTGTTTCTCTCTGCTATCAGTGAGCCACCGAGCAGTGCGGACTGGCAGGAAGAGCTAGGCTCGCAGCCACATCACCATGGCAGATGTTTTGACTTCAGCTGCCTCGCTTCACATTTCTATTCCTTCTCTGGTCCTTAATGTTCCTTTTTCTGTCAGAAGGGCAAAACCAGTGCCAAGTGCAGGGGCAGGTGGAGGGGCCTCTGCCGGGGGCTGCGGCTGCTCCCGCCCTCCTCTGTGTATCTCTCCCTGCCTCAGCCTTCCAGTCACCATAGTGAGGTTGCCTAGGCCAGACTTGACACTGCCTTCCCCGTTCTGGACTCATTCTGGGCTCAGTTCTTCCTTTCTCTCGCTCCCTCCACCCCCAGCTACAAGCCCTGCAGAGCCAGGTGGAGTTCCTGGAGCAGTCCATGGTGGACAAGTCCCTCGTCAGCAGGCAGGAAGCGAAGATCAGGGAGCTGGAGACACGCCTGGAGTTCGAAAAGACCCAAGTGAAGCGTCTGGAGGTGGGTTTGACTTCGTGGGCTTCGCTGAAAGCCTAGCAAAGCTGCCCCAGTGGCTGGAGCCACGCATGCTCCGAAGGGCTGTGCAAGCCAGGGGCGCTCCTCGGAGTCCTCTGCCAAGCTGCCAGGCCAGCTGACAGGGTGGGAGCTCCACTCCCGCCTGCCTGGCCTGCTCTCCAGGGCCCGCAGAGCCTGCCTATTTTACATTCTGTATTCGTGCTTGCTTTCTGCCAAGGGACTAGAGCAGCTTAGCTTTTCGTCTTCATATTTTCCTCTGCCACAAGCTCCCCGTCCTGTCTCCCTCCCTCACTCTCTGGTACGGTCATAAATATGCAGCGGATGGCACCACTGCTCCAAGGGCTGAGGTCTGTTCTCGTCTCATGGCTTGCTCCTCTTCCTTCCTTTCTTATTACTCCCCTCCCTTTCGTTCCCTCACTTCTTGCCACCCTTTCCAGCTCTGCTTTTCTCCTTTCTTCTCCGTCTAGTACTGTCCTACGTCTTTCTTACTCTCTTCCAATGTCTTCATCTCTCTCCTCACCCCCATGTCTTTCTTTTAATACCCCCTTTTGGTTGGCCTTTTTTCATCATGCTTTGGTTCCTCCGTCTCTGCAGTGGCGCCTCCATACTCCATCCCAGCCCCTAGCTCTTGTGGGCTCCTGTATCTAGCATGCTCCATCCTCCCTGTGTGAAAGATAGAGGCATTGGAACCGTATCCCTCAGTGTCCACTTGCAGCCTTGCCTCAAAGCTCTTCTCCTTCTGAGCTTTGGACATCTGTCCAAGCACCATCAGGCCTGCCTGAGAACATGCTCCTGGTGCTGGGAGGGGAGGCTTCTCTGTTGCCCCCCCGCCCCCAGTCCCTCTGTCGGCAGAGGAAGCAGGTGGCCAGCCAGGGGCATTACTAGCCCGGACATAGGAATAGAGTGTGGACAAAACTCCCAACATGGAAAACCAGAGAGAACTCGAGGGACTTAGCTTATTTTCTACCCCCAGGACTCCAGGGCAGTTGATCACATTTTAATCCCCATATCATATATAGGAAAGGCTTTATGTGGCTGCTAGGGGCCAGGGGAAGCCCCTGATGGCGGATGAAAGCTCTGCCTCCGGTACTTGTCACCATACTTATCTCTCAGGCTGTCCTCAGAAACCCTGCTCAGAAAGGCAATATTGTGCTTTGGATTCATCAGAGTTAAATACGAATAACCTCAAATGACCCTTTAGCCTGGACCTGTCACTTGACCGGGGGTAGTCAGTGGTAGAACTACCCTGACCCCTGACCACTCCTCCCTCACACTCTGCCTCTGCTTCAAACCATTTCCTGCTTAGCGTCCTACTGCTGGCAGGGAAAACATGTTCTTGTTTCTGAAGGAGACATACTCATGAGGCCGAGAGAGATAGCCCTGCCTGGCTCTTTCAGTCAGGCACTCTCAGGAGAGCCAGTTACCTCAACACTGGCTGGAGCTTTGGGAACTTCTGAGTTCAGCATCTCTGAAAAAGCCCTGATGACCGTGGAGACACTTACATGACAGGCCAGCCTCTGCCCAGAGCTGACCGAGTCTCGGCAGTAATAGCAGTAACCACAGCCCTTCCTCATCCAGATTGCCTGCTCCAAAGACCCCCGCCTGCAGGTGTCTTCCCCTTTGATAGACAGCACAGCTCAAGGGCTAGGGAGACCGATCAGTTGGTGAAGTGTTTTCCCTGCAGAGATGAGGACCTGAGTTCGCTGGCTTACGTTACAAGCCCGGTGTAGTGGGCCTTACTTAGAATCCCAGCACTGGGAAGCAAAGACAGGAGGATCATCGGGGCTTGCTGGGCAGACAGCCTAATTGTAAGCTCTAGCTCTCAGTGAGAGACCATGTTTCAAAGAGCAAGATAGATGCTACCTAAGGAACAATACAGATTGACTTCTGGCCTACAGACATGTACACTTACACACACAGGAAGACATAAAAGAGATGGGGGCAGGGGTAAAAGTGAGTAAACCTTTCACATCCCTTAGCCATAACTGAGTAGCAGGGCAAGGGGTTGGCCAGAGTTCCTGGTCCACACCCTGGCAATAGCCCCTCTGTGTGGCTAACATCCTACCTGCTGGTCTTTCTTTTCAACCTGCTCACCCAGAGCCTAGCCAATCGGCTCAAGGAAAACATGGAGAAGCTGACTGAGGAACGGGACCAGCGCGCTGCAGCTGAGAACAGAGAGAAGGAACAGAACAAGAGGCTCCAGCGACAGCTTCGTGACACCAAGGAGGAGATGAGCGAGCTTGCCAGGAAGGAAGCCGAGGCCAGCCGCAAGAAACATGAGCTGGTAATGTCCTGGTCCCACGCTGGAGACCCTCGGAGTCCTGCTAAATACACGCCCACCCTGCCCTGGGCCATGTGGGGCATTTCTGTCCCCAAGTCCTGTTAAGTATACACTCACCTCACTCTGGGTTTTGGTGGGGGACAGTTCAGTCCTGAGGACAGGTAAGAGAGTCAAGGGTGGCCGCAGGAGTCTCCATCAGAGGAAGCCAAGCCCCACCAGCCAGCCCCTGAGCTTGTGGAGGCTCAGAATGGCACCAGGGAAGCTCCTTCCTGGCAGGGAGTGACTTGCTGCAGGCTCCTTCAGAGATGCTAGGGGGTGTTGTGGCCCTCCTGGTCACTAGACCCCTCTTCTAGGAGATGGACCTGGAGAGTCTGGAAGCTGCTAACCAAAGCCTGCAGGCCGACCTGAAGCTGGCATTCAAGCGCATTGGGGACTTGCAGGCCGCCATTGAGGATGAGATGGAGAGCGATGAGAATGAGGACCTCATCAACAGGTAAGAGGTGGTAGAGTCCATGGTATTTCCGGCCCTCTTGAACGGTGGGATCAGGCCCCAGGCAACAGCCACAACCTCTGTCATCCATTGCCAAGCTGCCAAGTCACCCTCCCAGTGCCAGACCCAATTGGGAGAGGCTGATGGTATTGGGGTGGTGGGGCTGGGGGCTGGGAGGTATCTCCCTGTGCTCTCCTTCCCAAGCTTCCCAAAGCCCTGGCTGTGCTGCCGCCTGCTCCCTATGAGTTATTCCCCCGTTTAGCTGCATTTCCGATGGCGCCTGCCCTACTCTAGAGAGAGCAGAGATTTAAGAGCCATGGTGCCTTGTTACTGTGCTAGAGATTTTCTCGCATAAAACCCACCCAGGGAATGGTTTTGGAGGAGAAGAGAGATTTGTAATCCTAGGCTGAGAAGAAAGTCACAAATGCAGAGGACCTGCAGTGTGGGGGTGTGTCCAGGACTTAGGTAGACCTCAGAGCTCCCCACTTCCTGTCTCAGGGTCAGGTCCCTTCCTGTGGGCGGGGCACAGCAGGGCAGGGCAGAGTGGGTGCAGCCCAAGAAGCCTGCTCCTTTGGAGTAAGTGCTGGCAGTGAGTCAGGCCTGGGTCCGAGGATTCTGTTACTTACCTCTACCTGATCTCAGCCAGCCAGAAATGTCACTTACTCGAGGATCCATGAATGAGGGGACTCCTCAGTTTGTCTATTGATTTCCCCGTCTGCTTCTTCTGGCCCCTTTGCCCACCATTTTCTTTCTGTTTCCAGTTTGCAGGATATGGTGACAAAATATCAGAAAAGAAAGAATAAACTGTGAGGACCAGAGCCCTGTGCTCTTTGCCTCTCTCCATGGGTGTCTAACCATCCCTAACACAGGGCTTCCTGCCAGGGGCCCCTGCTGCATGCTGCATGCAGACACAGCCTCCTCATTCTCTCCCTGGCTGGTCTCTAATGCTAACACCGCGGACTGTCCTCAGGCTGGGGTGGAAAAACTGGCTGGCAGTAAAGTGTGTTCCTAGAAGGCCGGGCTGACCCTCAGAGCCCTGGTAGCCAGGATGGGACTTCCTTGCCTGGCTAAATTCCAGCCTCCCTTCTCTGGGGACCAAGTGTGGCCACAGCCTCGGAATGGTTGTCTAGGGGTAGAGTGTTTAGGCTCCATCTGTCTACATCCTTGGGCTCTCTGAACCCAAACTGCCGGAGAGGGACGGGTCTTTTTTGTGTTTAAGGTCTGTTACCTTCCTTACACAGATGAGGGCTAAAGGTGAGGGGCATCTCGCAGCTGCTCCTTTGAGAAAGCATTCAAGCAGCTAATCTCGAGCAGCTCTGCCTTGGCAGGGGAAGGAAACAGCGAGCTGTGTTTACTTTGCTCCCCAGGGGGCACCTCGGGCAGTGGTGGTAGTCATGGTGTTGGTAGGAGGGAGCGCATCTGTGTTGGTATGTCTGTCAGGTGGTGGGCGGCCTAGCACATCTGCCCTTCTCTGTTCCCTCTTTCTGGTGGGGGAGCAGAGAGTGGTGCAGCCCTTGAGGAGGATTTGCTGATCCTCTGTCAAGTTCGACAGGGTTGCTTTTGGAAGTTGTTTTTTCAGCATGGCACTGAATTTCCTGCCTGGCAGCCTCCTCCCCTGGCCAGGATGGGCTGGCGGCCGTGCAAAGGACTCCGGGAGAGCTAATGATAAATGTAATAGTGTGTAACAGTGATAGAGGGCCGCTGGAGCCCGGTTGTCACACACAATTAATATCCCCTGCCGTTCTGTCTCCGTTTGTTTGTTCCCCCGTGATTCGGCTCCCAGTTAACTAATAGCACATGAGCCTGGACATAAATTGTATTTGACGGGAGGTTTAATTCCGACCATTTAAAATTTCAACTGCCCCCTGAGCCTGCCTGCCCCTGGAGTTTGTTTACGGGCTTGATTATTTAAGGAAGAGAACCCAAACATTGTCTGGATTCTTGCAACTAAAAGGAAGGTGAGGGTAGGCATGCCAGCCTCTCAGCCCACGGACTGCTCTGACTGTAAGAAAGAAAATCCATATGCTGGGCCTCAGTCTGTCCCCGGTGAGTGTTCTACCCTGCCATCCTTGGGCAGAAGGAGCTGTGAGGGCTGATAAAATGAGTTGGAGATCATATTCTAAACCATAGCTGGGCACACAGACCCAACACACACACCAGCGTGCACTCAAAGCAGGTGCATGAGAACATGCAATTCTGAGCAGGTTCCACTGATGGCAGGGAGGCTCCTTCCTCAGCAGCCCCAAGTTATTGAGCGAGCATGCTAAGGCGGGCAGAAAAATAATGTTTCGATTTACTTAGAGATACAGTTGTTATTGCCATAACCTTAATGAAAGCAGTAAACAGTGCAGTATTAAGGGAGATTTATACAGAAACACTTTTAACATGTAGACATAGATTTTGCAATGCATACGGCACCTCCTTTCTAAAGGCAATCAATATGGTTATGAACGGCGGTGATAAATTACAAGCTCTGAAGCTACGCAGGGAGGTTTTTTGCACGGGTATATAAATCAGGTGGTATTGGCGTTCCATGGGACCCATGCACCACAGTAAATCTGCCAGGCTCGGACAGGCACAGAGCTTGCATTAGTGGTTTGGGGGCTGACTGCTAAACTCCTGTTTACCCGGGGCATCCGTGGGCCTTGTCTCTGTTATAATTCTGTATTTGATAGAAACCCATAAAATATGCCTCTTTGTTCCCCTTCCCTACATGCCTGGCTTTCTCATGGTCCCCAGAACTGTGGTTTTTGCTGGTGTGTGTGTGTGTGTGCGTGCGTGCGTGCACGCATGCCTGGGTATACATGTGTGTGCCTGTGTGGCTATTTATTTAAGAACATAATTCAGGACATGGCTGTCCTGTTGACACAGATGAAAGGGAGTTTATATCAAGGAGAAATCTCTGCCTATCATAGCAGGGGAATTTAGGGAGAAGACATTTTGCAGAATTTGCAAAGCATTTGCACTCAGAAGACATCTTCATGCCCCCACTGCTTCATGAGGGGGTCACCATGACTCTAGCCTGAGAATTAGACTCTTTGAGGTTTTCTTGCAGGTCCAGCAGGGGCAGTGGGGAGCAGGGGCTGGAGGCTGCCTGAGGGAGGAATGAGGAGACCTCAAGAGTTAGAACACTGCTCTGAGACTGTCTGGGCCCATTGGGCTTCCGTGGCTATCTGGATCCTGAAGGCATCTCCAGGTGCCCAAGAAAGGCTGGTGTTTCTCCCCTCCTCTTCCCTCCTGTTTCTAAGAGCAAGGGATACCCATCCTAGCCAAGTGGGTCTAGGATGTGGCTGCTGCTTCATTAACTTAAGTTTGTGTTGATAGCAGCTAAAGAGATCCAGGCTCAGCTTAACCTGAAGTCATGTGACAGTCCTGTCTTCTGCCCACATGTCTAGCAGCCTGGCTTTTCCAATGGAGACAGAAAATGACGGTAGCTGTAACCTCTGCCTGAGGCACCACGCACATACATGTGTGCACGGGTGGATGTGGGCGTGCTACAGCCCGGGCGTGCAAGTTAGAAAACATCATATGGCTTCCAGGGATTAAACTCAGCTCATCATGGTTGGTGGCAAGTGCCACGGAATCATCTTGTCAGCCCCTCAGACTTCTTTGTAACCAAGAGCCGTTAGGCTAGCATCGCCTATCATGCTCCCCTGGCTGGCCAGCTGAATAGCTTGTCACCCCTATCTGGGATGGAACGGGTGGTGCCTCCGTTCTCAGGGTCTTCCTTGTGGCTGTCACACAGTGTGTGGTCTGCCGAGTGGAGGGTCGGGCACCTTGTGGGGTGATATGCTCACTCTAACCTTTCTGTTCCCCCTGACTCACTGATGTGCATGCCCCCTGCACTCCATCCCCAACCAAGATGCTCCCTGCTCCCTTCTTGCTCCTCGTCCTGGCCAGCACGTGATTCTCACCTGCCCAGCCTTGCCTACCTTTTTGCTCCTTACCCCAACAGTGAGGGAGACTCAGATGTGGACTCGGAGCTGGAAGACCGGGTCGACGGGGTCAAGTCCTGGTTGTCAAAGAACAAGGGACCTTCTAAGGCAGCTTCTGATGATGGCAGCTTGAAGAGTTCCAGGTGAGTGCTTCCCTCAGGCAGGGAGGAAGGGCCATCTCAGCCACCAGTCATGGGTGGACAGTATCTTGGCACCAAGGGTGCCACCCTCAGGTCACGTGCGTACTTTTCCGGCCTGTGGGAAGAACACAGAAGGCCAACTGCTTAACCAGGTAGTGTCCCCTGTTTGGGTGTAAGTTCTTGTGTAGGTTTAACTTCATCCTGCCCACTCAGCAGCCATCTAACTGTTGGTACCTTTGGAGTCAAGGCTTGGAGCCCTGGGGACTCTGGATCCTAGAGCCCTGCACAGGGCAGCCCCGGCCAGCTCTGGACCTCTTTCCTCCGTAGAGCAGCAATGCAAAAGCGCCGTTTCCCAGCGCTGCTGCACTTGCATCCTTGCTCTCTCCTTCCTCTATGCTTTTCGTCGCCCACCCTCCAAGCTTGCCTGCTAATCTTGGGGGGCTGGCCCCCCTACTTTCTAGCCAATCATATTCTGATCACACAGACAGCCACCTCTAGAAGCCAGAGCTCCCACTTGGCATCCGTCACCGGCCCTTATACCCCCTCCCACAGAGTTCCTAGTTCCCTTCCTCATCTCTCCAGAGAACAGTAGGCAGGCTAAATAGAAAAGTAATCTCCCTCCTTCTTTTCCAGCTCCCCCCCAGGGTCCTTCCCTAAGTCCAGCCCCTCACCAGTAGTACCCAGCGGCCCCCTGTAATTGGTTTAATTTATTCGGCCAAACATCATTTTGTTACTGCAGATAATGCTGCCTTCCCCGCCTCGCTGCCGTTCACCACAGTGTGGCACAAGGCTCCAGGTAGTTGACAATGAAATAAATTGAACTAAACGTTTTAGAGGGGGAAAAGTGATGAAATAGAACAATAGTCTAATTTACATGACATTCTCCATGAAGCTATTTTCACTGACGCAAATTATTTTGCTTCATTTCCTCGGATGCTCTTGCCACCGCTTTGCCAGGGCTGTGCCGTTTTCTCCTCCTTCCTCCCTCCCCCTGTGTCTTTATTTTTGTTAATGCCTCTCTCTCCCCTTTTTCTCCCCCCTCTCTCCCCTCCCTCCTCTCTCCTGTCATTCATCCACTCTGGGTCTCTCCTCCTGGGCCTCCTGTCCCACTCAGGACGGCTCTCAACAGCCTCCCTAAGGAGGGCAAGGGGCCAGAGGAGAGACCCGCCTCTGCACTCAGCTCACTCAGCTACCGCAAGAGGCTCACCCTGAAGGACTCCATCGGGGGCACTGGGGACCAGGACTCACTCCTCACTACCCTGAGTGAGCGTGCCACCTCCCCTGAAAGGCCCACCAGGAAGGCCCGTGTGGGCTCCAGGGAGGAGCCTGACCAGGCCCAGGGCAGGAGGTGTGAGGAGCTGGATGACCGTAGTTCCATCTTCTCAGGGACTGGGAGCCGTACTGGCCGGGGTCTGGAGAAGCGCTGGGGCTCAGACTTTGACCGAGCCTCGACAGTCTCTGCTCCGGTCAGCCGGGCCTCCTCAGCCACGCGAGGCTCTGGGGAGGACAGAGCTCGCTCCTCGCTGAGCTTCTCCCTGTCAGGCTCACCCAGCTCCCAACACAGCACATCCAGGCTCGACAGCCTGGCAAGAACTAGAAGCCCTTCCTGGAACAGGGCCTCAGGCCTGGGCCGGGAGAGCCCTGACTCCCGGCTCTCCCTTGGCCAGAGCTGCCTGGATGAGTGGGATGACGGAGCCAGCGTGGCCCTCAGTGAGGCACACTCACAGTTCAGTCATCCATCCCTGGCTCGGAGCCTCTCCGTGCCACCTGAGCCACGGGGCTCTGTCTCAGCCTCGGCCTCTGTCACTGAGGGCTCCAGCGTCAGACCCGTCAGCCGCCGCTGCTACCTGGATCCAGACCTGGAGGCTGCCATTAATGAGGTCTTGAGCTACAAACCTGAGCCGTTCCAGCGGAGCAGCCTGGAGCCTGACTCCGAGGAGGATGACCAGAAGAGCATCCAGAGTGCTCGGAGCGCACAGCTGGAGCATCCAGAAAGGAGCACCAGCATCCGCCGCTCCGCCTCTGCGGTGGATGTCTCACGCAGTGGCCGCAAAAGCCGGAGCAAGCACAGGAGCAAACGAGACAGCCCCAGCTCCTCCAGCTCCAGCTCCTCCAGCTCGGAGGGTTCCACTGAGCACAAGCGGCGCAGGAAAGGGCGCTCTCGGAAGAGCAAGAAGAAGTCCAAATCAAGAAGAAAGAAAACAGAGACGGAATCCGAGTCCTCCTCGTCTTCGTCCAGTGGCTCCACGGTCTCAGGCCACAGCCGCTCCAGTGTGAAAAGGGGCCCAGCTGTAGACGTCGTGGAGGAGGCGGGGCAAGCCCCAAGCCGTCGGTCAAAGAAGGAGGAGAAGCAGCGGAAGAAAGAGGTGGACAGCCTGATGATGCGGTACCTGTACCGGCCAGAGAGTGACTAGCGCAGTAGGTGCCGCCTGGCCTGGTGTGGAGTGCAGCATGAATGTCGCACCCTCTGTGAACTAATATGCTCCCTGTCCCTCCAACCACGACCTCAGGCTCCCCCTACATCCTCCTGGGCTTCAGAGAGCCTCCTGGCTACCACCTGAGCCCTGAGCCCAATCAGCTGAATTTGCTGATGAGCCCCTACCTCACCCTGACCGTCCTGTGCTATGTTTTTGGAACTAATCTTTACTCTAACTTCATAACAAAGGCCCGATCAGCTCTGTTTCCTAAAATGTTGGGACTCAGACGGGCTGAGCTACCTGCCAAGGTCACACAGCTGGGAAGTAAGGTTGCCAGGAGCTAATGGGACCCGTTTAATACCTTTAACCGTAACTGCTTCTCCATACGGCTACATGCAGAGCCCACGGGTGAACCGTAGGTGTCAGCAGCACCCATCTCAGAGCTGTCATCCAACAGGATGGACCCAGAAAAGGATCCGAGCTGACATAATACCTTGGCTCTGAGCTCTGATGAGGCACTTCGCTCTCTGTGCTGTCTGCTCCCTCCCTCCCTAGCGTGGATCTCTAGCTTCAGCCCACACTGTGCCATACCCTACAGTAGACCCAGGAGAGGCCTGCCGCCTCCCTGGCCCTCCCGCCCACACTCAGCCCACACATGGGCGTCACCTCAGCTCTGCTCATCTTGTAGAGTTCTGGTGCATAGAAACTAGCAGCTGCTGAATGACAGCCCCCTCTCTGCTCTCCCGCCTCCCCCAGCTCTTCTCCCTTCGGGGATGAGATGAAACAGTTAGCCGCCCCCCCCCCCCCCCCCCCCCCCCCCCCCCAACGGGGGGGGGGGCCCGGAGCCACCGCCCCCCCCCCCATGCCCACACCTTCAACAGAGAGAGGCAGAGCCTGAATCACTGGAGTCCCATTGTTGCCAGTTTCCTTGGTGGGTGGTGACATTTTAAATCACCCCTGTTGTGAGACAGGGTGAAGCACTTTGGCGTGGCACCCTCACAGGGCATGCTTGCTGCTCTCCAGGAGGGAGGCGCAACTCCGTACCGCAGCCACCTGGGGCACCACATTTGTTTCCCAGATGCATGAACTAACACACCTGTAGCATGCTTGGGCCATGGGGTCTGGTGAAATGGACTACACCAAACAGGGTCTGTTTAAGGTCCCTTTAAGGAATAGAGCAAGAGGAAGTTGCCTTTGTCCATTTGGAAACTGGGGAGGGGAAGAGGGGAAGTGATTGAGAAGCTGGAGTAAGGAAATGGATCTTGAATCCTGAGTAGGCTTATGCCAGCTTGGGCCTGAGCTAGACCACTCCTTGGTCTCAGCACTGCCCTTTGCTCCTCCCACATGGCTTCTGGGTACTTAAGAGAGTGCAGGGATATCTGTGGCCTTTGTTAGCTCCATCGGAGAAAAGCTAGGAGTCAAAGTATTTGGTCTACAATTTCAGCCTCTTTTTAGCAGCCTTGCACTCCAGGGCAAGAAGTCAGTTGGTGGGTCGATCAGGAGGCCTGGGAACAGAGAAGGCCAGGCCTTTCTGTACCTCTCCCAGAAGGAAGTGAGTGCCTTGCTGGGCAATCCCAGAGAGATGGGTGACTAGCAGATTTCGTACCTGAATCGCTCCAGAGCTCCCAGTCACATTTCACAGCAGATAAGACAGAAAGCCTCTTTCTGCAGCCTCCTCTCACCCACAGCTCAGTTGCTTTTTTCTACAGGAAGAGCCAACTAGTCCCGAAACCCTGTACTGTGCCACTATGAGGATTGGAGTCAGTGGCGGTAGAGTGGTCTCCAAGTAGAACATGAAACAAGGTGGGGGTAGGGGGGACTTCGCTGGCGCCCGCGGCCTTTGAATGAGATATGCCGTGCAGAGGCAGAAAGAAGGTGGGCACAGAGCCCCCACCTAGGGATAAGGACCAGTGAAGAACTCCAAAACACAGAATGCAGCAGTCACCCTGGGCTTTCCCTGCAGGAATTGGCTTGTGCACCAAATTGTTTGTGACAGCACTGAGCAGGAGACACCGCCTTGTGGGGAAGGAAAGCTTTTTAAACAATTTAGTTAAAATGTTCCCATTGCCAGCCCTGACTCTGGCCCTGGGGACTGGGGCTGCCTGCTCTTGGCCTACTGATGGTGGTAGCAGACATGGAGACTGGCCAGAGAGAGCTTAAGAAAGACAGCAAGGGACCCTGTGGCTCCTCAGTGCAGGGAAGAGCAAGGAACAGAGTTGGCGCCATCCTTGGTTGCCTCTGCCTCTTTGCAGTGTCTGACCACTGTTTCCCTGGGCGTCTGGGATGTGAGACTATGGCTGGCTGTGCCCATGCCCTCTGCTCACAGAATAACCTCACTGGCTTTCCTCGAAGCCAGGCATTCCTCGGCCGGAAAGCAAACCTTTAGCACGGGGTGTATGGAAACTCTGTGAAAAAAGAAAACAACTGGCTCCCACTGATTCGGGGTTCAAACAACCCCAAGGCTGTGGTGACCCCATTTTTTTCTGTGTTGCACAGTTATCATTGAGCTTTGTAATTTCGTCCCGGAGATGCTGCGAGGCCTTAAGTGCTTCTGGCCCATCAGAGTAAGACTCATTTATGTTCAGCCTAGTTTGTATTAAGTGTGTTTTGTGCTATTCTGATTCCTTTAAAAATGGTAATTCATTCATGAGAAATACGATAACTATTAACCGGACTGCCCCGTCGCTGAGCCATTTTGCATAATTGAACATATATTTTCCCAGGCTCTTTCTTTCCGCCAGGGACACAGAGACCTGTCTTTACATTCCCCAGTCCCTCCCCCAGCCAGCAGGAGACTTCAGGTTTGGTCTTGTTTTCTTCTTCTCTAATCTAATGGCAGAGTGCCCCAAGGCTGAGGTTCAGATTCAGGTTTAGGTCTTGGCTGGGACCTTGGCCGAGGTGCTTCTTCCTTTTTGAGCCAGCTCTCTCATCTTGCGTTACTGGGAAGGATAAGAACAGTAAGTCCCAGAGAGTGGCTCTCAACCTTCCTAATGCTGTGACCCTTTAATACGGTTCTTCATGTTGTGGTGGCCCCAACCATAGAATTATTTTCATTGTGACTTCATAACTGTATTGTTGCTACTGTTGTGAATCAAAGTCTAAATATCTGATAGGCAGGATATCTGACATGTGACTCCCAAAGGGTTGAGAAGCACTGGTCCACGGAGCTCAGGCAGTGCCTTGTACAGGAGGACTCTGTGGTGGACCCTTTACCTCTGCACCTTTACTCCTCCCTCCAGGGAGACCTGAAGTGCTGTTTGCCTCCTCCTCTTACTTTAAAAGGACCAGAAAATAAAGGGCCATCCTCGGGTTTCTAGTTTAGAATATAGTAGGCCCAGCAATTGTAGAAACTTTCTTTGTCCAAGTAGAATGTTATGAGGACATGGAGGCTTTATTCCTTCTCTTCGTCTCTCGGAGCAGGGCACCAGTAGAGGTGAAGCCATGTTGGGCTGTATCTTCTCCGGTGATGTAAGCCTGTAGTGCATGTGGTCAGGGGTAGTGGGGACAGGAGGAGGCTCTGGGAAAGAAAGAGTGCGAATGGAGCCGGAGGAGGGTCCTATCGGCTCTGTTGGATGTCACAATCTTCCTTGCTCCAGGAAGATAATGCTTCATCACATCTTTAGAGGGACAGCCTTCCAGAGCCAGGGGCCTGATGAGGAATCCAAGGAATTAGGGTCCTTTCCCATTGGCCTATCCTCAAACAGGTCTTGCCAGCCTCTGTTCCGAGCCTCCGTTCCTTTTCCAGTAGAGGATGCCATGGTCAAGGACAGAAGTCTTCCAGGCAGGGAAAGCCTGATAAGGGAGTAGTTCAGATCTGGGGTCCTGTTCAGGACTAAGCTGCCTGAGAGTCCTCTGCTTGGACAAGTTATAGTCATGTGCTCACCCTCCTCAGATCTTCATCTCTGTGGTCTGTGGACTCGGAGGAAGGGAGTGGAAAACTCACAATCCCTGGAATCCCCATGACTTGGTCCAAGCTTCTCAGAGGAAAGAGCCAGGAACCTGCAGCTTGTTCTTAGACTCATGGAAGCCTGGTCCCTGCTGCCACCAGCCTCCCTGTCACGATAGTCTTAAAAGCTTTCCAAGTGCAAACTGTGCGCTCCTTCTGACATTGAAGCACTCGAACAGAGCCCCAGTGGCCCGGAATAGAAGTTATTATTTGCCTTGACCTTGTTCCTCTCTCCCTGCAGCCCAACCAGCCACTGGAAGTCCCTGCCCCCTGACCCATCAGATGATGAGCATGACCCTGTGGACAGGACCTCCAGACCCCGATTCTCCCACAACTATTTGAGTGACAGCGACACAGAGGCCAAGATGACTGAGACCAATGCATAGCCTGGGGGAGTGGCTCACAGCTCTTCCACCTCACAGCCTCTGCCAGGAAATAGAGGGGTACCACTGCCCCCGTTTGACCGCCGATCTGCATGGAGAACACCTCGGCTCTCTGTCAGGGGGACTTTCCAGGCCGTGGGTGTGTCTGGTAGCTCCACATGGAAGAGGTGGGGAAAAGAGGAGTCTCTGCAAAGAGAACCTCCATACTTGCCTCAGAAATGCCATGCTCTTGGCTCCTACCCTGGGCCACTGTGGACCATGTCAGGTGGCCTGGCACTTCATGGAGCCGGTAATGGACCTCCATCTCAGCCTCCTGCTCAGGGATGGTGATAGGTTACCTGCCGACCACTCCAAGTTGCTGGGCCCATGAGAAGGAGTCAGGAGGGAGCAGCAATGGCCCCCCTCTGCTGGGTGAGGGCTTTCTCTTCTCAGTGCCTGCTGTCTTTTTACTGTTTAATTTAAATACCCAAACCTCCATACAGCTGCATCTTTGAGAGTGGGAGGGGCGGCTGTTGCAGCTGGGCCCTGCAGGATGCCTTGGGAATCTCCTCTCCATCTTCACTCCTCCAGACTTCCTTCCTCATGCAGCCTGCCGCTCTAGTGAGCAGAGCTGGGGCCCTGGTTCTTAAGAGACAGGGTGGGGAGGATGGCAGCCGGGTGCTTCTGGCTTGGACCAAGCAAGCCTTGTTGGAGTATTAAGTGCAATGGGCAATTATTTAAGAGCCAACTGCTCCACCTGCACCTGCCCATGGCTTCCGGCACTGCCTTCCTTCTTTCCACAGTGTGGCCAGCAGCTCATTTGGCACTGAGGACTCATGGGGGGCACAATGGAAGGTAGATGTTTCGGTCTGTTTATCAGAGCAGAGTCCTAACCCTTTGTCATCTTTGCCTGCCCATAACCCTGTTCCCACACACTTACCCCAGACACAGCAACTAGTGGTCTGGAGATCTAGCCACTTACCATAAGGGTCATCCTGACCACCCCACCAGATTTGGGGGCCCAAGAGCCCTGGTGCTGGACCTGTTTGCCATCCCCCTCCCCTTCCGCAATTGGTTTGTACTCATCAGGCTGTGCTCTCCCCGTGGACCTGATTAATGTAAGGAAATAAAAGGCCCCTTCCCTCCTGGCCACAAGTTTCCCTGCTTCTCCTTGCAGGTCCAGGGATGGTCCCACGGCAGGGGCAGAGGCGGGATTCTGATGGGGACATGGAGGAGCCACCTTGATCTGTGGTGGCCTGCCACATGCTGGCCAGACCAGTGCCACTCCCAGAGCCTTGGCACATCACTTGAGATAGTGGGTGAGGAGAGTGGATAAGGAAGACAGAGCCCCCACATTTATATTGGGGCTAGTGGAGTTGGCAGCTCACTTACGCTCTCCCCCTGCCTCTTCTCAAAACTCAACTTTAGTCACTCCAAAGGTGACTTTTTTTTATCAAAAATTGTTAGCATTTTCTTTGTTCCTCAGCCCTATTTGACCACAGGAAACTTGAGTAAGCTGGGAATACCGCCTTAAATGCCCACTAAGCCTCTGCCTGAGCTACACTTTGGCTGTGCTTTGTGGCCTCTCCAAAGTTATAGGGCAGCTCATGCAGATGAGGGAGAAACCAAAGACCTCCCTCTCCTTTTCCTCTCCCTCCTCTTCCTCCTCCTCCTCCTCTGAACAGAGCTAAATGGTCTGGGGAAGTAGGTGGGAGAGGCTCTGGTGATGTCAACTGCCCAGAAAGTCAAAAGAAGGAAAGGTCACCATCAAAAAACATGCTGGGGAGAACTATGAAATGGACCCTTCTGGAACAGAGGTGGCTGCCCTCCCACTGGCCTCCAACTCACACTTTTCCTGCTTCAGCCTCCCTAACCCCCAGATTGAAGCTGTAAGCTAACATACCCAGTTTGGGGTCAGAAGACTTTTCTCAAGTCGGAAAACTTGCATTATTCACTTAGTCTGCTCAGTCTCAGCCGCTGAGACGCCTATCCTTATTAGCTGCTATGGCTTGGGCACTGTCCTAGTGCTGAGAAAGGAGTCCTTTCAAACCCAGGGTTATCCCAGTAAGGACTCTGGCCCGCAGAGCATATGCCTTACCTGCTGGTAAATATCAGCTTCTGACCTGAGAGTTGTAAATCACCGAGCCTGTCCTCCAGGGGTGTGAGCAGAGCTACTACAGAAGGGCAGAGAAGGTCCTTGGGAGATATGGAAAGAGGATGCTTCTGAGAGGAGGGAGACTGTGAAGGGCCCTCAACACAGGTTGTGGGGCTAGGGCTTCAAGAATGGTCCCACGGGTAGTTATTGCTAGGACATACTCGGGGAAGAAAGAACTTACACAAAGGTTCTGAGACAGGTGTGGAGAAACGGGGCTCATGCTACATGCTGCCTGGGAAAACCAGAGGACACAGACCCCACCCCCCATCCGCATGACCATCGCCTCTCCAAGTGTCCACAAAACCCTCCACTAGCGTCGTAGGCTCCAGGTTATAAAGGGGTGCTTCCCCTGGCTCCCACTCCCTGAGGCCCATCAGGCCACCAAAGCCTGTATTCATTTTGGGGTATACCTGGAGAACTCTGCCAGCTCCCAAATACCCACGGTACCTCTTATCCCTAAGGTACCGCAAAACAAAGCCACTGGGCCTGTGCCCTGTGCCCAGCTTAGCCACCCTGTGTCCCATTCAATCCTTCCTGCTAATTTCCAGCCTGCAGGACCTGCTCTAACCCCCCCCCCCCGGAGTAAGAGGCAAGGGACCGAAGCCCTAGGGGAGTCCCCATGATGCCCAGACACCACGGCAGCAGGCAGTGACCCCCACACAGCTTCCTTTGTCCTCTTGGCAGATTATCCCGGCTGTCCTTCCCCATCCCCCGCCCCGTGCCTGGTGGCACAGACACTTAGCGATTTGCTCCTTAATTGTCCCCCAGCTAGGCTGCGCAGATGCCGCTCTTTAATCTCTCCTGATAAATGAATCGCGCCGCTCCTTTAATCATATGTTCATATCCAAGCCAATTTGAATCAATTTGGCAGGGAGCGTGTTGCAAGAGATGCCATGACTGCTGCTCTGCCCCCCGGGGCCCCAGAGCCTGATGACTGCGGTCCTCACTCTCAGCAAAGAGCCCAGGAGGCCCATCCAGGAAGAGGAGCACCTACCGAGCGGTGGCGGCTTTTTAAAGTCGGCCACTCATTTGCCTCCTGCCCTCCAAGCCGGCTGTGTGGGAACGGAAGATGGATTCTCAAAGGATTCTCAGGGGTGGGAGGGCGAGGGCATGAGTTCAAAGCCTGCCTTGGTTCACTGAATAAAAGGCCACATCACCATCCCTGGGAGAAAGTGCCATCTTAAATCTCACCTTAATCCCTTCTATCCCCCTCTTGATTTTCTTGGAGCCCGTTCTCGGAAACTTGGGACTCTTTATTGTCTCTTAGATAGTAACATTTTCAGACCCGACTATGCTGCTGTCCCTGCCCACTATGCACAACTGCCACAACTGCCTCCATCTTCCCCTGGGCTTCTCCAGCCGTCCAGCAGAGGTGCATTCCTGGTGGTACACCGCGTTTTGCCTTCGAGTTAGCTAGCTGCCCCTGTTGAAGTCCAGGCATAGTGGCAAAACAGCACAAAATCAGACAGGCAACTGGCATGCCTCCTGGGAAAGCAGCTGCCTCTCCTGGCCTTGGTGAAGTGAGGCTGTGTTGCTGGCAAGAACCTCTGGTTCCTAAGTTCAGAGTTCATTGCCAAGGCACCCTTGGTGGCACTCATAGACCTGGGAGACCCAGCAGCTGGAGAAGCGCACGGTCTGGCTGAGCTTGGCCTCCATCGGGTGGCCTCTGGCTTTCAGCACCCCCTTTCATTTCCTAGGCTCCTCACTTCCCCACTCTGCCAGTCCAGGCAGGTGCCCTGTGTTTCCCTGGGAAACCTGGAGATCATTACCATTTATTCAGTCTACAAGTCCACAGCACAGCCCTGGTTTTAGAGCTCAGTAGCCTCTGGCTCCGCCTTCCCACCCCTGGAGATTCTGTCCTTATTGCTCCCAGAAGCCACACCTTACCTCCATCCCCCACTCCAGACAGGGTCTCTTTGTGTAGCTCTGGCTGTCCTGGAACTCACTCTGTAGACCAGACTGGACTCAGATTCACAGAGATCCTCCTGCCTCTGCCTCCTAAGTGCTTTGGTTCTGTCTCTTATCAGACCAAATTGCAAGAGTGGTCTGGATTGCTCTCACACCTGCACGCTCACCATTGCCCGTTTAATGACTTCAGCCTCAGAAGGTTCAAGGAAGCAGTTTCCTGCCCTTTTAGCCCTTTCAAGGCTTCTTGGAAGTCTTAGGGGGAACTGAGGCCATGGGGACTAGGGCGAGTGCTTCCAAACCTGTGCATCGAGGGTCCCCAGGCCTTATGCCTTGGCCAACACAATCCCTCACAATCCTTTTAAGTGTCATTGTCCCCTAGGGTAGCCGAGGTTCAGAGAGCAAAGTCCTCTGCTTGGTTCCAGCAGCTGGCCAGGCATGTGGAACTATCCCAGGCTTGTTGGAAAACGAGAGAAGAGGCCGGAAAGAGAACCACAGACTTCTCAAGCCGCTATGTGCTTAGTATTCACCAGGCCTGGCCTGAGGAAGAAAACACTTCTGGCAATTTAAGGATAAAATGCCTACCTCATATTCGTGTTGCTCTTTACAATTTTCAGAACCCCCCCATACATTATCACATTTTCACTGCGCTCCCACTGCGCCAACAGTATGAATAACAGTGCCACTCGGCTCAGAATGCATATTTTAAGAGATATGCACTTCATCTAATTTTGTGACGGCATGACAGAACAATCCAGACCGTCTTGCGATTTGATCTGGGGAGAGAGAGATCCAAAGCAATAGCCATTTTGGATCTAACAAGGATGCTAGATCTGTTTAGGAGGAATTTTACAGAGAAATCGAGTTTTCGGCAGTGTGCGCTCCTATGATGGGTCATGCCCATAAGGGAGATTCCACAGGCGCTGTGTGCTTTGTGATTGAAGTTGGTGACACAAATCTCCCAGAAGAATACTTACATGTGCAGATAGAATTTGCTTTTGATATCAAAAGTCATCTCTGACAGTTTTATAAAAAAATTTTTTTAAAGGATATTAAGTTTTGACACCGTTCAGGCAAATTATATTTGAGGTGACTTAAGAGTCAAAGAGTTTCCACATTTTAATAAATTTTTATATGTTTTGTTCCACATTTACGATCTGACTAGATTAGGAAAAGAAGCAAATGCATTTGGGGAAGAGAAGGCGCTTAGGGGATTTCAAAGTGGGGAATAAAATAAAATGAGTTAAAAAGAAAAAAGATGCTGCTATATGAAAGAGGTAGCCAGGAGCTTTTGAAACAGTAAATCTTTGAAAGACAGGTCAACAGCAGGCAGCCAGACATATAGAATCATGTGTGATGAAAACAGGTCCTACCATCAACTGCAGGTTGGCACCCTTGCTGGAGGGCAGCGTCTGGCCCCAGGGACCACCATATCAGGGAGAGCAAGTCATGGTAACCCTGGGGGGGGGTGGCACTCTGTGGAAGGTTTTGTGCCAGAAGGACAGGTCCTGTGGAATTTGCTCTCCCAGGCATCTCTCTGGTGCACACTACTTAGCCATCAATCGGGTGTTTGTGATAGGAAGTGTGCTTCTGCACAGGAGGACCTGCTGAAGTAGAGAACAGTGAAGCAGGTTGGGGCTGGGGATGTTGCTTAGCTTATCAAACCTATGCTACACACATCCTCAGCGTGGAGGAAGGAAAGAGATATGGTGGAAGGGGGAGAGGGATGTCAGGAGGGAGAGAGGGATGGCAGCAAGGAGAGAGGAAGGGGAGAGGGCTGGTGGGAAGGGGAGAGGGAAAGAGAGAGAGAGAGAGAGAGATGGTTTTATAGTTGTTACTGGGTTTTATTTCTATTTTTATTTCTATTTTTGAGACAGGGTTTCTCTATGTAGACCTGGCTGTTCTGGACTCATTTTGTAGACCAGGCTGGCCTTAAACTCACAGCGGTCCACCTGCCTCTGCCTCTGGAGTGCTGGGATTCCAGGCGTGTGCCACTGAGTCCAGCTGTTACTGGATTCTTGAAGGTTACTAGTAGCCATGGTAGCGAATGCCTTTAATCCCAACCCTCAGGAGACAGGGGCAGATGGATCCTTGTGAGTTCAAGGTTAGCCTGGTGTATGTAGCAAGTTCCAGGCCAGCTAGGGACATACCATGAAAAAAGAGAGTATCCATAAGAAGGCAGATCAGCAAATAAATGGGGAGCCAGGGACGTAGCTCTGAGCACTAAAGCACCTGTGTAGGGCCTTGGACTCTGTTCCCAGCAATGCCTGTGTGAGGGGGCTGCAAGGGTGCTGAGACCTATGATCCCAGAAACTGGCCAGTCTGCATCATAGCCACACCCCCTTCCCTGCTCCTTCTTCGCTCTCCTCTCTCTCTCTCTCTGTTTATGTGGAGGGGATTGTAAGTAAGGTATTTGTACTATTAGCATGAAACTTGTATGTGATTTTTGAAAGTCAATATACACGTAGGTACTGACACCAAAGAGGCCGCTACACTGTCCTATGTGGCTGACCAGAAGAATAGGTTCTTTCTTAGCCTCCCCTGTATGGAGGTTAGGGCTGGGGGGGGTAGATTTGGGCAGGCCATGTGGCATAGCTGCTTAGACTCTGCTTGGCTCCGTGCTCAGGGAATGCCGCCCTTAAAACAGCAGGCAGCTGCTGGCAGGCCTGAGAGTAGAAGCTGGAAAAAGAAACAGATTGGAGGGTGGAAGAATGAGGAGGAGAAGAGAATCCAATCCTCTCTTCCACCAGCCTGGAGCTCTGCAGGTGATGAGTTTAGGTAAGGACATTCTTATTGATAAAGGGGCTGGAGGTGAACTTGAGAAGGTCATATGGTGATTGTGTGTGTGTGTGTGTGTGTGTGTGTGTGTGTGTTTGTGTGTGTGATAAATAAATATATATTATAATCATATATATAATCATAATATATATTATATATAATATATATATAATTTCCCCCTGTCTCTAAAGAGACACTGGCTCAACTTTGACTGGTTGATAGATTTGTATAGCTAATGTCTGCTTCCACCTGGGAAGGTTTATCCTCTTAAGGAAAAGGAAAAAGCACTGTTGTTGAATCAAGTGACCAGAGTTTCTCCTAGGAAACAGGAAGTTTTGGGTGTAGAAGAGGCTACAAGACTTCAGGCACACCAGAAGGTCTGGGAAGGACAGAGGGTCCCCCAGGGCCCGAGTGCAATTTTCATGTCCCTCCCCACCCCCAGCCCTGGCTCCCCAGTAGAAATCAACTACAAATCTCAGCTTGTTGGGAACAGATGGCCTTGGCTGACGAATAAGCCACCTCAGGCTGCTCCACCTGTTCTGGAACTGGAATAATCAGCTCGAGACAAACATCGGTGCTGAAATAACTCATGGCAGCGGGTGAAGCGCAGGCACGGATTCCAGCACTCGCTCGCAGCCCCTCCTAGCCCTCCCTGCCCCTCCCCCTCCCCAGCCCTCGGAGGCCATCAGGGAAAGTAATGGAGCAGAGAAGATGATGGAGGCTGAAATGGAGCAAGAGAGGCAGGGCAGGGTGGAGGGCAGGGCTGAGTTCTGCGTTAGGGTGAGACTCAACCGGATCCCAGATCAGGGTGAGAAATTACATCTCAGGGGCTTTGGAGAAGGTGGGAATGGCCAGTGCCCGGGTGGCCTGGCAAGGCTGAGGAGACTTAATTGACCCAGGAGGGGAGAGACCTGAGATTTGTGGCATTAAAGGAGTCCTGTTTTGCAAATAAGACGGAGCTCTGAAGTGCCTCTCAGCACAGAGACCTTTTCAAGTGGCCGGTGGGCGCTTGGCTCCTGCAATTCCCTCCACTCGCTTTTGGCTTCCCCTCACCTCCTTGAGGAACTCAGCCAGGCTAATGTGCCCTGCCTGGCCCAGGCGAGCCCAGGGAAGTTTCTGACAGACAGCGGGGGTGAGGCTTCCCAGAGAGCCAGTTGAGAGAGGGCAATGTCTCAGGCAGGGACTTTCTGGTACACAGAGCATGGGGGTTCTGAGGCCCTAGAGCAATGGGTCTCAAATGAGGGGGAGCGGGGCAAGACCCCTTTGGAGGTTGAATGACTGTTTCACAGGGGTCGCATATGAGATATTTTCATTATGATCCATAACAGTAGCAAAGTGACAGTTATGAAGTAGCAAGGAAATTTTATGGCTGGAGGTCACCACAGTGTGAGGGCCTGGAAGAAAGGGTCCCAGCATTAGGAAGGTGGAGAGCCGCTGCAGTACAGGCACAAGAAGAAGCCTGACAGGGACTCCGCC